AGAAGGGTTCAGAACTGCTCTGATGTGACGTGTTGTGACGTCGAGCAGCACTCCCACCCCGTCCCCATGCCCCAGTTCTGCTGGATGTGTTTCTCCCGAGGAATTAATCCAGGATTAGATCAGGGAGGTGACGGCACAGAGAGAGAAGGAAAAGAGATTTCCAAAAATCATCAATACAAACAACTAAAGGATTATTTGCACTGGATGTCCCTGAGACTACTTTATCTTAATGACTGATGTTGCACAGCACACCAGCCACAGTCAGTCTGACCTTTTACTGCAGATTTTCATGCAAAAAGCTCTTCATAACACTTCCCACTACAATTCTCACTACGAGTTCAAGTTCAAGGTACCCACCAAAAGGTTGACAGACTCTATGACATCCAGGAACACCTCGTTTTTCCTGTATTTTATCCCTTCTGATCTCCATGAGACAGCGTTTGTAACAGTGGCAGGCGGGCGCGGGGCTCCAGTTTCAAGTTTGTGACCTTCCTGAGTGATGTACCTTCACCAGCCATGGGATTGGCATGAAAAAAAATGAAAATTAATCTTTTTTGATACTCAGAACAAGCCAAACATCTGTTTGCCCACAGAAGAATACTCAAAACTCTCCCAAGGGCTTTGTCATTGCGATGCAGAATGATACTTACTCTTGTAAAATTTTACTATCAGTGGTTTGTGGATACCCAAAATCCATAAGCTCATCTAACAACTCATAAATAATAACAAAATTATCCCTAATGCTCTCTTCTTCCAACTCCTTGAAATATTCAGAAAAAACCTGAAACAAAACGACAGGAGGGAGGGGGAGAAGAAGGACATGAACTGAGAGCAAGCACAGCACACGCAGAGTGAATTCCTGCCCCTGAAAACAATCCCTTTAGAAAGCTCCAAACCAAAGCCCAGAGTCCACAAACACCTCAATTAAAACACAGAGAGAAACAACCCTAGAGAAGCAACTCTGGGGATGAAAAATATTCATTCTGGAGAAAATATTTTTCACGCCAGGTAGAGAGGTGAACCCAAGGCAGGCTCTACTGTGATGCACCACTACTCATGCACCAATTCACAACTCTCCTCTAGGTGCTCAGGTCTTGTGCAGCTACTTACAGCACTGTGCCCCATCCTTTGCCTACTCAGCTACAAAATATCAGTGCCTTTATTAGTGGTTAGGGAGATAGCTCTACAAAATAATCAAATACAAAGTAAAAACGCTGTTGTCAGAGCTCTTTAAAGAGGTGAAAGCTCTTTGCGCTTCTATCTGAGGTCAGATTTAGGCTGAACTGAACGCAGGGGTTACTTCCAAAATGTCACACTCACCTGAACTACTTTATATAAAAATGAAAACACCAGTGATACACAAGCGTTCTTCTTAGATGTTGCAACAACTGATAAAGGAGGTTCAGGAAAAGTGATTAAAAAAAAAAAAAAAAAAAGGTTACTAAGTGCATTTCAAAAAGCCTTTAAGCAATTAGAGTTGGCCAGAAAAACTAAGAGTTAATTATTTAACAGCATCTCTGATCTAAGGAGATAGGAAGATAAACCTTCAGGAAATAATTCATTAGAGTAAAATTAATATAAACACCTTATACTGCTGGTGCACATTACATTACGTAAAGCATAAATCAACTTTATGCAGTATAACCTATTTTATTTAACCAACTTTATTTGATAACCAATTTTTTTTTCACCTTATCTGACTTCAGCCATTCTCCAACTTGCACTTTGTCAATAAAGAAAATCAGAGCAGCCCTCGGCCTTTCAGCAGCTCAAAGGATACGATACAGGTTGTTGTGTTTAATCCACATGAAGCGAACTCCTCCGTGTGCTAGGATAGGGGAAAGCGTCCCCTCCTCCTCCTTTTCCATAAGGATTGGCATAAAATGCTCCACCTCTGACATGTCCACATCTCCGCGGTAATTCCGACAGATCAGAACCTACGGAGAGAGCACCCAAACCCTTGTGGTTTTCCCCCTCTTTTATAAGGGTATTACCACGCAAGAAAAACACGCAAGGCCTCTCTAAAGCCACTCTGCTTCCCTCGAGTCTCTCCGCACTTACAGACGCAAATCACGCGGCCAGAATGCTTTGCTGATTAAGGATGCAAACGCCGATATTTCACTGGCACCTCGGGGACAGCCGGGGGTGGCAGCGCGGGCCCCGCAGCCCTTTGGGCACCGCGCGGCGCCCTCAGCGCGGAGGGTCCCGGGGGCACCGCTCCCCTCACCAACCCCCGGCCCCGCAGAGCCCCCGCGGCCCGGCCTCACCTTCCCCTTGAGGTCCAGCACATAGACGGCGCTGGCCGACATCTCCCCCGGGCCGCGTCCCGCCCGCTCCGCTCTCCTTCCCTTCCCTTTCCTTCCCCTTCCCCTCCCGTTCCGCTTCCCCCGGCGGTTCCGAGGGAAGTGACGGCACCGCACGGACCGGCCGCGCCTCCGCGCAGGGATACGCGCGGGGCACCGCGCCCGCGGAAGGACACCGTGAGCAGTGGAATCCTGTTAAATAGTCCCAGGGTGTTTTCCTTATTTTTTTCCCGCTGGGAATGAATGGTCCAGCAGCGCTGGCACAGCGCGGTGATGTGTTTACCCCATAGCGCTGGCTCCACAGCTACCCCGGAGAGGAACGAGGGTCTGTCCAGGCTGAGGTGGGACACACACTGAGCTCCCCTGGCTCAGCCAGAGGGACCAAATTGGGGTTAGAAACAATACCCCGATTATTCCAATATTCCGATTATTCCAATACTCCGATTATTCCAATATTCCGATTATCCCAATATTCCGATCGAAGAGGAGCGACAGCTTTTGGAATGTCGAGGTACATGTCGTCCCTCACGGAGGGGAGAACTGTAAAGGCAGGCGTGACCCTTCCAGAACTTCATACACAAAATTTGCCCCGATTTTATATGTGTAAATCAGCACCAAATAAAAAAAAAAAAAAAGGGATGAAACCAGCGCTTTAATAAGTTATATCAAAGTTACAAGATGCAGAAGCCCCTCACCCCTGAAAGAACTCTGGATAGAAATACTGTTGTCCACAAAATCATATTTGTTACCTCGTGTGCAACACTCAGGAGGGACACTGATTATATATTCCAAAGCTGCCAAGCTTGGGTGCTCGGTGTATTCCGCAAATCCAGCACCCCCAACTATCAAAACTTGGACATCACTGAGAACTCATTGGCTGCTCTCCCTTCCCTGGGATGAAATCTCCCCTCTTCTTGATTAGGTTTAAAAGTAGATCAAAACAAAGATCAAACATGAAAGAACACACTTCCTTAAGAAAATTTTACATATTCCACATTTTGCAACATCACCTCTGAAAAAACTTGATAGGAATTTTACAATTCTCATACAACTTACAAGAGAAACTTAAATGTGAGACTGTCAGACTATTCACTTCCAAAAAGGAGAAACAATAAAGGAACATTTTCCAGCTGGCTAGCAGCAATTAATTTTGGCCTTAATCTCATTTTAAACACTGGAAAACCCAGCCCTCTGCACCCACACTAAACCAGAGCTCCTCAGCCAAGAGATGCCTTTGCGGGACGTTTGGCTTTAAAAACCAAAGCTATAAAATAAGACAGTACAGAGTCATAAAACGCTCAGAAGATATATTAGACAATATGGAGAACACACACATTTACATGGCAACCCTTGCTCGATACAAACAAAACACAACTCCTGCTCCAGGGCCCGTGACAAGCAGCCCAGTCACTTAGTCCAGCTGACTTTGGGAATGTCGTAATGCTCAGTCAGAGTATCCAAGTGCCTGTTGAAGTCCTGGGGGAGGAAAAAAGAGAAAGAAAACGTTTAACATTTGGTGCTTGACATCACCAAGTCGAACCACAAGACCACCCCCCCCGCCCCGTGTGTCACAAGGTGAAAGAGTTCCTCTAGCCCAACAATAATGAGCGTGCTCTGAGGGACTGGGGGTGATTTCGCTCACCTCCACTCTCTGCTTGTGGGTTTTCGAGGCTTTTTTCAGGATCCGCTCCATTTGCTGCGGGAGACACAGAGGGGCCGGTTACTCCGAGCACTCGCGGCCCCTCAGCGGCCGCACCCGAGGGGTGGATGGGGGTGGTTTTTAAAGCCTTACCCGCTTCTCCTGCATCTTCTCGTAGGCCACCTGCGCCGGGGTCCGCTTGTCCAGCCCGCGCTTCTTCTCCTCCTCCTGCTTCTTGCTGCTCACGATCTGCTCCAGGATCTGGGCCTTGTCCTTCGCCTTCTTCTTCTTCCTGCGGGCACAGTCCGCTCAGCTCCCGGCTCCGGGGGTGGGTGTCCCCCTGTTCCTCCGATCCCCCCTCACCGCCCCCGGTTCCCCCCATGTCCCCCCGGCTCTCCCCCGGTCCCCCCTCACCGTTTGCCGGCCCCCAGGGCCCCGCCGCTGCCCTTCAGCCGCAGCGGCCCGCGCTGCACCGCCTCGTAATCCGCCATGGCGGAACGGCCGCGCCCGCGCCCTCTGCCGGCACCGCCGCAACGGCGCGGCCGGGGAGGGGAGCGGGGAACGGGGAACGGGGAACGATCCCTCCGTGAGGGGAGCGGGGAACGGGGAACGAGCGATCCCTCCGTGAAGGGAGCGGGGAACGGGGAACCGATCCCTCCGTGAGGGGAGCGGGGAACGGGGAACGAGCGATCCCTCCGTGAGGGGAGCGGGGAACGGGGAACAAGCGATCCCTCCGTGAGGGGAGCGGGGAACGGGGAACGGGGAACGAGCGCTCCCTCCGTGAGGAGAGCGGGGAAAGAGCGCTCCTTCCGTGAGGGGAACGGGCAACGAGCCCCGAGCGCTCCTTCCGTGAGGGAATGGGGAACGAGGAACCGAGCGCTCCTTCCGTGAGGGGAATGCGGAACGGGCAACGAGCCCCGTGCGATCCCTCCGTGAGGGGAATGGGGAACGAGCCCCGAGCGCTCCTTCCGTGAGGGGAGTGCGGAACGGGCAACGAGCCCCGTGCGATCCCTCCGTGAGGGGAGCGGGGAACGAGCCCGGAGTGATCCCTCCGTGAGGGGAACCGGGAATAAGCCCCTTCTGCCCCTCCGTGAAGGGAACCGTGAACGAGCCCTGTCCGCCCTCTCAGTGAGGGAAACTGGGATAGAATGAGCCCCGTCCGACCCTCCGTGAGGGGAACCGGGAATGAGCCCTGTCCGACCTCTCAGTGAGGGGAACCAGCCGGGACTGCCGCAATACGTGGAATATGTCAAGATTCTCTTAAGTCAGGATGTTTTTTGGTGTACGCTCTTTGTGTACTTTTAAGCCTCATCAGCAAGGGAGGAGACCTAATGAGTGCAACGGGCAGCAGGAGCATCCCTTGGTCAAGGACATCTGGGAACTAACAAGATTTAAGGATGTAGTAAATCAAGATGTCGATGTATGTCTATGAATACACGGCTAACTTGGCAAAAGACTTAAGGTCTGTGTATCCCAGAGCTGAACTATCTTCATTATAATACTAAAATCACGCCTATAAGTCAAAAAGACCCTGCCCAGGTGCAGACCCATCCTTTGAGAATGTGGAGAAGTTCACTGGGGTTCCGTAATTTGTATGGAAATTACTAAGTAATCCTAATAATAGAGGGGCTGTACTTGGAAAGGGACTAAGTCTTAAATTCCGTGTGTAAATAATTTATGGATACTACCTCCAGTACAAACTGCCATTAACGTGCCCGAAGGGAAAACACTGGCACTGGTGGAGTCACCATCCCTGGAAGTGTTCAAAAAAATTGGCTGTGGCACTTGGGGATGTGGGGATGGGTTAGTGGTGGCCTTGGTAGTGCTGGGGCAATGGTTGGACTCTGATCTTAGAGGGCTTTTCCAACCTTAATTATTCTACGAAGAACGAGAAGGAAAGGAAGGAGTGGTTACCGAATTTCCAGCATTCTGCGTGAATTCTGAAAGAAGGAAAATACCACTAACACTTTTCATTAATTTGCTGTATCATGAAGGCATGAAAAACGGGATCCTTGAATACCCGCTGCTCAAAGGCACTAACGAGCAGCTATTAGTTGTTTTGCTAAATGCTGTAACCCGAGTCTTTGTGGTGCTCACAGGAGACAGGTGAGTGCTGCTGGATAAGAGCCTCAAGCAGCCAGACTGAAGGATTTGATGAAATGCTCCTGTTGTGATACTTCACAGCCTGTCGAGGTTGGTTACCTGATCCTCGGCCGTACCTGAACCTCATTGTTGCAGCGTTTAATAACTGAATATCCAGACGACCTATAAAGGTGCCTTTGAGGAAAGAATGATGGGAAAAGAGTCGACATTCCCGGCTCGAAATGGGCAACAAGCAAACCATTTTCACTCAAGAGCAACTGGATGCGTATCAGGTATAAACCAAACAAAATGATTGTTTGAATAATGGCAAAGATTTTTTTTTTTTAACAGTCTCATTTAAATATTAATAGGTAGAAGTACTGAATTACACCACAGATTTTAGTTACATAGTTCGATTTTTACCTCAGGAAGAACAGTTATGAAATACTTCACATTGTGTGCCAAAAAGAGAGCTTTAATGCTTAGTTACATATTTTACAGTATCATCTAAGTCACTATACAGGAAAAGTTTGGGCCAGTGTTTGCTGAAAACTCATTATATGTTACATCTTTCCTTGTTTCACAGGACTGCACATTTTTCACAAGGAAAGAGATCCTGAGGTGAGTATTCTGTGTGCATTTTGTGGGTAAAGGACATAGATTGCTATAATGGCAGGCTACGTACAGGGTGAGATATTTAAAATTTGTGTAAATCTATTTTAAAATTGTTTTTAAAGTGATACCTTTGGGCAACCTTAGTATTTTTGTTGGGGTTTTTTTTGATGTGTGTGTGTACAAACTCTGTGTTATCTATCCTAAACTGAGACAGAACTCTAAATTTTATATTTATGTACCAGTCCCTCTTTATTTATCAGAAATAAATGTAACAAGTTATATTTAGTGGATACTTCGCCAGCAACATCCACATTTCACGTTGTTTTATGACAGATGCTTCAAAATATACCGTTATCCTTTGGAATACTTGGCCTGATTTTCATAAATCCTTAACGATTGTGTCCAGTTTTCTTCACGTCTGCTCATAAATAATTACACCACTGCTTCAAAGTACATTTCCCCCCTTCATGTGCCTCGCTGAACTCTCCATTTAATCTCTGGCCAAACATTCTGATCAAGACAAGATCAGGAATGGGACTGAGAGTCTTCACTGAAAACCTGAATTTCTTCTCCCCTTGTAAGAAACACTCACCCAGACAGTACCACGCACATGTTGAAGCTGTGTTTGCCCTCCCTGACCCTCGGCCATGTGAACACAAAGGGAATTGTTGCATTTCTCCTCTCTCAAGATGCCCTCATGCAGGTTTTTTTGGCAGTTTCTCTGAAGGCAAGAGCACGGGTGGCAGTTGGGGGCAGGACTTTAGAACCCTGCCATCTGTGTGAGGATTTTAGACAGCACGAAATAGGAGTTGGTTCTGTAAGAGGTGGAATCTGTATCTGCCTCCTTTCCCCATAGGAAACAGAGGCCAGAAAACCATAACTATGTCATGAATCAATGCATTTATTATTGATAAGGATCCCTTTTAAAATTCTCTCCTATTGTTTTGTTGGTAACAGCTGTGAATGGGATCCTTTCTCTAGTGCAAGAATAAAGCAAAGACACCTTGAAAAAGTGGTGAATGCATTCCAACCCTGACGCACATTTTCTGCCTCTTGAACCTTAGTTCTGTGGAAAAACAGGAAGATACTTGGGGTGGATAAAAACCTGTTAGGGTGGATCCCAGATCTCTCTTCCTGCCCATGACTTTAGGTTTTATTCTGACATTTAAACTGAATTTTTCACACTCCAGTTTCAGCTCGTTGTTTTTTTGGCCACACTGAGCAAGCAGATCCCTCCTGCCTTGCCACCAGCCTTTCTGTGTTTGGAAACAAATCAGGTGGACCTTCAGAAGTAGAAGGTCTTGTGCCTTGTTATCCTGAACACACATCCCAGTGACACCACATGCCTGTAGAATAAACCTGACACGGTAAAAATGTGGCTTTGGCCACACGGTGTGAAGGGGTTTGGCTGCATGAGCTGTGCAAGCATTTTCACCTCACTGTTCTATAATGAAGCAGTCAATTTTTCACCAGTTACCCTGTGTTGCTCTTAATGCTGGTTCTTCCACCACCAACATAGTAATTCTGTGATATATTATAGATATACTTGTTATATATAAAGAGATGGACTTGTGGGTCCCTTCCAGCTGAGAATATTCAGTGATATATAATATATATATTAAAATATATGTTACTTAGTGATCAATCTCCATCTGGAAATGGAGGAAAAGAGCGAACAGTGAGGTGGAAGAGGCAAACCCACCTTGTTCTCAGGGGTCTGAAGGACTCATTCACCAAACAAGCCTTTCTTTCTGCCTCAGGTTGTTTTACAGGTACCGAGATCTGGCCCCTCAGCTCGTTCCCCTCGACTACACAGACAAACCAGCTGTGACGCTGCCCTACGAGCTCATTGCCAGCATGCCAGAGCTCAAGGTACGAGCCAGGCACACGACTCGAGTGACACGCTGCAGTTTAATCTGCCCCCTTTTAATAATTCATCCAGGACTAATTGCTGGCAGCCCTGGCCTACAGATAAATTTGGGTTATTGCCGGCAGAAGTCTTTCTGGAAGCTTCTGGTGATTCCCAGAAAACGCCCTGAAGCTGCCCAAAGTTTCAAGCAGCTGCAGCTGTGTCTGGAACAGAATGGCAGAAAGGGGAGAATTCACCAAAAAGAGGTTTCAACAAAACCCAATCTGGCTCCGAGAGTGCCTTATGTGCACTGCAATCCATGCTGGTAAAGGCTGACCTTCCCTCGCTCCTCTGTTTTCCCAGGACAACCCGTTCCGGCAGCGGATTGCAGAGGTGTTCTCCGAGCACGGCGACGGCAACATGACTTTGGATGATTTTCTGGACATGTTCTCAGTGCTCAGTGAAATGGCTCCCAGAGACTTGAAAGCTTATTATGCTTTTAAAATTTATGGTGAGTGAGACAGGCATAAAAAAAAGGAAAGGTTAGGGGAAATCCTGCGGCTTCGTGCAGGGATGCAAAGCCTTCATTTTGTCACCATAATGATTTCGAGTTGGCATTTCTTTAAATTCCATTTCAGTGGTTTGTTCTCTCTCTGCTAAAAACTTTTGGTTTTCTTTATCCCTTTGCCTCTTATTTACTTGGGATTAGGATTTACTGCAAAATTTACAGCCTGAAATTATCTGCGGTTTTCAAGAGCTGATAAACATTTAAGAAATATTTCTGTCTGAAGAGCTGCTTGGAAAAGTGCAGCACAAGGGATTTGGCTGCCCATAAATCTGTAGGGTGGACTTGGGAGGGGGAGGCAGGGAAGAACAGTGCAGGCTTTTTTTCTCCAAGGACAAATTTAAAGATTTCATTTTTTTTTTAAAGGGACTATTTTCAGTTATTTTCTTTATGTTCAGCTGAAGACAAACAATATATGGAAGAAACAGAATCTTGCTGGGATGATTTATAATTGTAACCCTTATATATGAGAAGGAGAAATGATTAGACTTTAATTTTTTAACTAATTGTTTTACAAGCACATAGAGGTAACTTCCTTTCTGATTTGAGTTCTACTGATATAAATCCATCACATCCTGGGAACTAAACCCTCCTCTTGGGTCTTGGCAGCCAACCACATGAAATTCCGAAATTTAAATTAATTTAAATTTAAATTAATTTTGTCTCTTTTGTCAGATTTTAACAATGATGATTACATATGCAAATCAGACCTAGAGAAAACTGTTAACAAATTAACCCGAAATGAGCTGACCCCAGAAGAAGTCAGCCTGGTTTGTGAAAAGGTCATTTACGAGGCTGATGTGGACAATGATGGCAAACTGTCCTTGGGAGACTTTCAGCACATGATCCTACGAGCCCCAGATTTCCTCAGGTAATATTTGCTTTTCATTTCTAACACAAAATTGCTCTTAGTTTCTCTGTCAAAGGCCTCTGAAAGGTGTATTTTATGTTTCCTCAGCCTTCTTAGATCACCACTCTTCCCTGGCAGGTTCTAGTGGAGCTGCAAAGACTGGGAAAACAGATGCTTGGAAAAAAAGCCTGGAGGCTTCTTGACTTGCTTTTGAACCTCCAAATGTGCTTCTTATGTGACAGAAAGTCCTTGTAACTTAAAAAGTTAATAGGAGCACTCAGGCTGCATGGGTAGGTCCATGAGATTTGCTCACTCAGTGCCTGACACGGTGTTAATGTGGCTCTGATGCCCAAATTACACAAAGCAGCACTCAAACCTTGCGTTTATTTAATGTACCCAGTCCTTGCAAGTGCTTCCTAAGATGAACTTTCCAATTTTACAGTACAGCCCTAGAATTAATTGAGTTAATCCTTTGCACAGTGACACGTGAATGATCATGGCTTCCTCTTGTTAACAGCACATTTCACATTAGGATCTGAATCCAGTGAAACACATGGATGGAAGCTCTTCTGGAACCTTAAAAAACCATCACTTCACCCAAGATTACCAACCACAAGAGCACAAAATGAGAGGGGCAAAGACTGCAGTTACTTGTGGTGACTGAGCCAGTCAGAAAACTGTTCTTGTTTTCCTCTTTTATAGGATCAATTAATTAAGCTACTGCATCAAGATTTCCCTGGAATTCAACAAAATGTCTATTCCCCCTCAGCTAGAGCAAACCTGGCCTGGACAGTGAGATGGGAAGTATTCTTTTAAAGTTCAGATACCACCAGGTAGTAAAGGAGCTTGTAGAGCTTCTAAAAATTCCCAAGAAAATGCCTTAACCAGGAAAAAAACCCCACTTGAGAACAGTTTCCAAAACACTGTGATTAATCAAAACTGTGTAAGCAACTCCTGATCATTTACAGTCTTAATAAACGCTCCACTGAATCAATTTGCAGATGTATTCTCCAGAGTGCAGGATTTACAACAAGAAACCCTTCCCCAGGTTCTGTCCCTCTTCTCTAATTTCAGAAATCCCCCTGTTTTCCACAGCAGACTCCACATGCACAAATGATGGAACAGGACTGACAAACTAAGTTTGTAAAATGCTCTTTTCATTAAGAAGTTTATTTATGCAGTCCTGCACAACAGAGTAAAAACAGACATCCTGTAATAAACAACAGTTGTAATACAAACATGAAAATCAATGAGAAGTGTTTAAGAAAGCAGTTGTAACGTGTGGGAAGGGTGGCAGCCCAAAGCGGTCATCCTAAAAACACAATTTACAGTTCTTTTTTAACAAGATTTTGGGATGCGTTAAGTTCCCTTCAGAACCAAGTTGTAAGTCCCAACTCACGCTCCAGGCAGAGCACAGAGTTCCTGCAGAAAGGCTGGAAAGCTGCTCTTTAGCAACTTTATCAAGCACAGGAACTCCAGGGATCAGTGAGAGATGGGCCAGGGAACGAGGCAGCCTGGAAGGCTCAGCCTGCAGTTCCCACTCTCCTTCCACTGAGCAGATCTCGAGTTCAACTACAACTGAGGACACAATTCTTCACCCAGCCCTTCCAGAACAAAGGAGCCCATCCTCACCCAGCTGTTTGTTCCTTTCCCCCCTCTGGCACAGACAAGTCCAAGAGAACACAAAATCAGGGCAGTTTTGAGCCAAAGGCACCCCCACAACAACCCCTCAGCAACCGTCAGGGAGATGATGATCAGCATCTCACATGAAAGGAGAGACCAAAGACTTTTCAGCAGCAGTAAAGAGACTTACAATAATCCATAGGATTTATAAATCTGAGGCTGGAATTCTGATGCTGTGGCACGAGGCTCTGATGTCAGGGAACGCCAGCTGTGCCCATCAGCACAGGACACACCACACAAGTGTTAAATCAGCGTTAAGAGCAGCAGTTCCACCAGTTATGGACACGCTGACAGCTCTGCACCCAAAAAGGGTGAGGACCATCCCAAATATTGCAACCAGCCTCAAGAATAAGGGCAACCACAGAATTCCATGATACTCATTAAAGTAAGGGAATTTGAGAACGTGCTCAAAAATGGGCTGGTTTCTCTACAAACCAACTGTTAATCAATCACCTGCCACTTTAGTGGTATTCAGACACTGAGGATGTGTAGTAAGCACACTTAGTTTTGCAGATCTACCTAAATTCCTCAGTTTTACAGATTTTATACCCAATTTCAGGCTTTTTCCTCCTTAGTTAAAGAAAGCTTAGATACATTACTGTGTGTATTTCCCCAGCACCTTTCTGATAATTGTGTTTTCCATAACACTCAATAAACACAGTAACTGCATGATGTGATGGAAACATCAATTGAAAATTGTATTTCTCCAAGATTTGATGCCTGTATTCAGTGACACAGAGCCAAGCACAGGTGCAGTGCAGTGTCTTTCACTTTCTCTCCTCTCTTACATTTGCATTTTAGGTTTCATATTGCTAACACAGACCTACAGCCTGTGCAGAGCCTGCACACCCAGAAGGATGGTGATGGCTGTAGTCACAGTAACTGCATGAAACTTCCTGAAATCAGGCAATAATCTACCTGTTCACTGAGTAAACCCAACCATTCCAAAGGAGCTCATGCTCTAATCAGGTACACAAACACGTGCAACAACCAGCATAAGTTCCAACAGAAGGTATTCACAAAGAGCTCTGAATGCAAAAGAGTAACTTCAGATTTAGAAAATGAGTGGAAAACCACAATGCCATCCTCCAAGTTTTACCCACTTGTAAATGAACATGCTTTGCTTTGCCCAGCTCGAGATGAGTTCTTGGTACTGTCCACAGGCAGACCTGTGGCATCAAGTTAGATAAACCACTTATTTTTCCAGTCACTTTGAAAAAAAAGTGACTTTGAAAAATAAGTCTGGCTTAACACCTGGTTGTATAAAGCAGAATATATATGTCAGACAATCCACAGTTACTACTGAGCCAGAAGCAAATCATTCCACTGCTCAGTTTTGGGTAGGAAAACAGCACTCAGACCATGCCTTATGCCCTCCCCAGTTCTGCCTCAATCATTTCTTGAAGCACAGACTCTCTCTTTAAAACCATCCTTATCTCAAGACAGAGATGCTGCTTGTCCAAGCTGTGTTAACTACACTCTGAAACACAGTGTCTGGAAGCCTCTTCAGCAGCTTAAAATGATTTTATCCTACAAATACATCTGTGTGTAAATCCACCACGGTGCACAATCACCAAGTCCTCGTGCTAAAAAGCCACAAGTAAACAAACAAAAAAAAAAAAACCAAACCCCCATAAGGTTCTGGTTAGAGGAAAGCTTTAATCACGACAGAGCTTGTTGTAATCTGCCATTAAAAAAAGGTTGGTAGAATCTAAAATGCATTTTTTATAAACCAGCAACGTACACAGTGAAATATCCTTTTTCCATTTCAGAAGAACGGGCAGTATTCCTGTTGAAGCCACTTGCAGGCTGCAGGTTTCTAATGTTAATGATGAACAGATCTGTAATTATGATAGATCTTTAACTACAGTAACACTCACTAGTGCTACTCTGAGGCCAGAGCTTAACACCACAAACTTGAAGAAAACAAAACTGGTGAGTAAATTCAACAACTTTAAAATCAACTTCAATTCTACCCTTTTAAGTGCAGTTGCCAATGTAAACAAAGCGTGTTGCAGTCCCAGTGAGCTGCAGGACACAGCTGGGAGGTTGCTGGAATCCAACACACCCCTCACTGCAACACCCTGACAGCAGATTCAGCAGCAGATGCTTTCACTGGCTCCTTTATCAGAATAATTGGGGTCAGAGCTGCAGCCCCCACCTGTCAGGGGCTGAACTCGGGGCTTGCACTTCACACACCCAGCAGTGTCGTGGGTGAGTCTGAGGCAATGAGTCCCCAGCCTGTTTCTGGCAGGACTGGTGTCATTTGCAGTGACATCTGCAGTGGGACACCCAGCAAGGCAAGGTGAGCTGGGAGAAGTCTGTGTTCAGAGAGTGGAGGTGCAGCGTTGATTTGCATGTGTGAGCAGGTGCAGCAGTTCCCTGTCACCACTTAAAACTGGTTACAGCTTCGTGACAGATCTGGGGCCGTTCCCAGCTGGAGAGTGGAAAAGTTGCCCACTGTAAGGTGACAAATTTGGTGTAAGTGTCCCTGCCTGACCCTGACCTGGTTCTCCAAAAACAGATGACAGATCACCTGCACAGGACTGGCTGCAGCCATCAGCTCCTGTCAAACACACCTAAACACCTGGACTACTTAAATAAGCAGTCAAGTCTAACGTGGATAAATTCCTGATGGTAAGGACCCATCATATTTACAGCACACTTTGGTTTTTTAAAAAAATAGAGATTCCTTCGAGGAGAATTTTTTTTTAAAACTTCAATCGTACTTGTGGATTGTCAAGAGTAACAACACAGCTAAATCAGTGACAGGCAAAGGAGCTTCTCTGTAGTAGCAAAGAGGTGGAGCTGCAGAAAGCTCCCTCCCACCTTCTGAGAAGGTCACCAGCCTGCACTGCTGCCCTCGGGGCGTGCCTGGGATGGTCTGTGAGCAGCTGCAGGCTGGATATGCACATGGACCATGCACACACACACCTGCCCTTTATTAACAGGGGCATTTCTGCTTCTTGTTCTGATCGTAACTTTCATCCTCCTCCACTGGAGACGTGACAGATACGCACACAAGGGTTGAAAAGTCTGTCAGCAAAGGTGCTGCATCCCAGGCCACGTGTGATCTGCTCCCCCTCTGCTACACAGCACGCGCGCCCGGCGGCGACAGGACCGAAAGGAACTTGTTCCATCTCCGAAACTGAAGAGTCAAACGATTACCAAAATAAACCATTTCTTATTCAGGTGGTCACAGAGTGACAAGGTTTGTTGTTGGGAGCACTAAGTCCACAGGCAGAGGAAACCTCACTCAGCACAGGCACAGTCCAGCTCAGGTTAAGGCCGTGTCCCTCACAGAAGGACACATCGGAAAAAGCTGCTTTTCTTTTGCTGCTCTGGTGTGATTTTGACTCCCTGGTTGCTGCCTTGTGGGCTATTGCCTTCCTGAAGAGGCAAAGAATATTCAGTTACTTATTTACACTTCCCAGCTTCTCCCACCCCTATTTCACCCGGTCATTTTCTTGAGCCAAGCCTGACATACCCAAAAACCTTCCCTAAAATCAACAGGAGGCTTCACTCATTTATCAGTCTCAAACCAGGCACAAAAAAATGTCTAGAACTGCATCTGCAGCTTTTGGCTTTAACAGCTCACACTGCACCTATGTTTCTTCTTTATATTAACTCAAAGACAGCTGAGGTTAAAAGATAATAAATTAAAGGGCATGTCTGGCTCTTGCTGAAACACTCCTGAAATGTCAGAAAGACCCAAAATATCCCAGGCCAATCAATTCCTGTCTGAACACATGAGGGTGGAAAGCTTGGTGAGAGCAGAAGGAACCCTCATCAGCTTCATTTCACATTTCAGAAGGAACAAATCAACGTGTACTTGTTTGTTGTAAAAAGATAACCCAGCGATTGCTCAGGACGCTTTTGCAAAGATTATCCAAAAACATTAGTTCTATACCTATTCTGAAATAGTCCAGATCTTCTACCCTGCCTCCTCTATCTTTATGATTTATATCATTTTCAGACTGCAAGACTGAGAAGTGTCATTAAACTGCTCTAACCCCCAAGTGACTTTTCATAAAACAAATAAATCATTTTATTTAGAAAACCTCAGCTAACTCCTGAAATGCAGAGACAATTGTTTACAAGCCAAGGTCAGAGCTCAGCTTGACAGAACTAAAAATACATTCCTAGAACATTTCAGTGATCCCTTATGAAAGAGACCATGATACAGTTTTTATACACTGTGAAAAGTTCTTGCAATGTGGCTTTTGGTTGTTTCTTTTTTTTTTTTTTTTTCCCTATTTAAATCCAGCACGGACAAAATAAGTTACTCACCAACTTCTTGTCCATTTTTGCTTTGATATCTCTTGCAAGAGTGAAAAACGCCTGTGACAAACAGTTCAGTGTTACAGGGGAGGTAAAATATACCCCAACAAACAAATTAAATAACAAATACACCCCAACTCTAATATACTTTCTTGCTTAGCAATAAGCTGAGTTTCTACCTACACCAAACTCCTCAAGAACATCAAATTTTCCGGTTTTCTCCCCCTGCTCCAGGTTTTAATGCTCCTTCTCTACATCCACAACCTCCTTTTTGAGCCCAGAAGCCCCACACAGGGTTTCTGCAGTGGGAAAACATCATCTTTTTATCAACCCTGTTCTTGAGTGCAGAGACATGAGCTGAGTTTTCCCTTGTGATGCCCTTTGCTGTGACCTCAGTGCTGCTCTAAGCACCCAGTTCCATTTACATAAATTAGCATAATGCTAGTTAAACAACACCTTAATGGAAGGCAGGGAAATGTGTTTAAGAACCAACCCCCTGCACCCACCAACGGACAGGCACCTGTCCTCAGTGTCTGTGTGCACACATTAGACAGCAAATATCAGAGGAAGGGGGCTGTACTTACATTCTCTATGTTTATATTTGCTTTTGCACTGGTCTCCATGAATTTAATCCCAAAGCTCGCAGCAAGCTGCACAAAAGCAGATTTCACATCAGTTGGAACAATTGCAGGAGCAGCTCCAAACACACCCCCGGGCACAGGCTCTGCCCCCCCTGCCACGAGTCACCCGAGCTGGGGATTTACTCACACAGAGCAACTTGCACCAACCAGGAACTAAATCTCACTGCTGCTGGCCTCTGTTCTCACCAGCTTTGCTCTGCTCTTTTACACCCTGCACGTGTTTTAATCTGCTCCTTCCTCCTTTATTTTCCTTCTTGCACTGACCCCCTGTAACCCCCGCAGTGCACATGGGCTTTCCCTGCCTCAACCAGCACCAGAAAAAACCATCCCATCTACCTGGTCTCGGTGGCTTTCGGCCAAAAAGAGCCATTTTCTCAATGTCAAACTCTTAACACCCTTCTCCTTAGAAAAATCCAGCTTGTTGCCTTGCACCTGACAGACCATCAACAAGAATCCTTTAACACAGGCTCAGCTTTTTCATCCCAGTGGGGAAAGGTCTTGCCATGACAGCTTGGAGAACGTTTCATCATTCCACTTGGCTGGTGCCACACTGACAACGATCAGAGCAGTTCTTAGACTTTGCAAAGCCTAAGGTGAAATGCAGCAAAGCCACAGAGCACTCACCTTCTCCCCTTGCTCTCTGGAAACTTGTCTTTTGTCGTTTGCGTCGCATTTGTTGCCCAGGATCATTTTCTCGACGTCTGGAGACGCGTGCTGGGACAGAGAGAGAGGCACACACGGGGCTTGGCTTGTGTCCATCAACACTGGCAGGAACAGGAGGCACCACTCAAGTGCCCAGCATGGAGATGCTGGTGCTAAAAACCTCCTGGAGATTCCCAGGCTCCCCCAGACCCCTCATCCCAGCCTGTCGTGGCATCATCATATTTGGTGCTCTCCAAATCACACAACAACAGCCCCCGTGACAAATCACTGCCAGCCAAGTCAGGGTGTTACCAACTTCCATCTCATGGATGGAACATCAGATGTTCCTGATTTCCATCCCATTTATTTTCCAAGTACCCTCCAGCACAAGAAAGGTAACACTTCTGAAGCAGTTAAGCTTCAATCACTTTCAGAGGAGGGAAACAGCACCTTTGACAGTCAGCAAGCAGAGAAATTACCTCTTCAATATTCCTGACCCAGTTCCGAATATTCTCAAAAGACTTTTCATTGGTGATGTCGTACACTAACATAATGCCCTAAAGGTCAGAAGGAGAGAGATTGTTTCAGCCAGGGTTAAAGGCTCATCTGCAGCAGAGAAGAGCAACTTAACAAGGACTATTTTTAACACAGTTGGTTCACAGTCAATGGCAGCAAGATAAGGGGTGCAGGATGTGTATTTATAGAGTGGAACATGGGGAAAGGTCCCTCCACAAAGTCCCGTGTCAGCCCAGCATGGCCAGGAGCAGGAGCACAGCTCAGCGTCCAGCCTGGCACAGAAGGTCAGTCGTGCCTGTCCCACCTCAGCCCCAGCTGCCCTGACCATCCCAGGTGGGTTTATCCCAGCCCAGATCCCAGGACTGCTCCTACCATGGCTCCCCTGTAGTAGGCGGTGGTGATGGTCCGGAATCGCTCCTGCCCGGCCGTGTCCCTGCAACAGAAGGACACGGGGCTCACACACCACCCAAGAGTTAAAGAATTTAATTCGAACCAGTCTAGGACCCAGCTTGAGCTTCTGAGATGCAATAAACCACTGAAGAGCACAGCTGGAATAAAACCAGCGCCCCGCCGTCCCCACGCCACGCACAGCCCCGGTGACCGCACACCCCCCGCGGCACGGGGGCCTCACCAGATCTGCAGTTTGATCCTCTTGCCATCGAGCTCTATCGTCCTGATTTTAAAGTCGATACCTGGAAAGGAGAAGCGAGGAAATCAATCACAGCTCACACGCCTGGAGACCAAACCAGCGCTCCCTGCCTTTCGCTGTTCCAGTTTCAGGTCCTCAGAGCTCCCCTCGCGATGGATCCCGGGGGGCTGCGGGGCTGGGAGGCCGGGGCTGCGGGACCAGGAGGAGGTTCCTGGACCAGGAGGAGGTTCCTGGACCAGGAGGAGGTTCCTGGACCGGGCGGAGGTTCCTGGACCAGGAGGAGGTTCCCGGACCGGGCGGAGCAGCCCTCACAGACCCCTCCCGGAGTCCCCCCGGGCTCAGGGACCCCCCCACACCCCCGGGCTCGGAGCCGCGGCGGTCGCAGCCAAGCGGGCGCGGGCTCACCGATGGTGGAGATGAAGGTGGCGTTGAAGGCGTCCTCGGAGAAGCGGAAGAGCGCGCAGGTCTTGCCCACGCCCGAGTCCCCGATCAGCAGCAGCTTGAACAGGTAGTCGTAGGTCTTCGCCATGTTCGCGGGCTCGGGCCCCGCCCCCTCGCCCCGCCCCCTCGGCGCCCATTGGCCGAGCGCGGCGCGGACCGCGCGGAGCCGGCGCGCCATTGGCGGGCGTTCCCCCATCGGGTGTAAGCGGCGACGCGATTGGCGCGCGCCCTCCTGCCGGGTGTAAGCGGCGCTGCGATTGGCTCCCCCCCATTCCCCCCCCCCCCGCGGCGGGCGCGCCCAGTCACTTCCTGCGGGTGGTGGCAGTGGTGACGTCACCCCCGCCACTGCCCCGCGTGACGTCACGCGGAGAGAAGCGCCACAAAAAAAAACCCCACAAGGAATCCTCGGTTTTGTGATAAACGTTTTATTGTGGGAGGGCAGGGCAGGGCCGGGCGGGGCCGCCGCTGCCCGGGGACAGCTTCTACCAGGTTATACAAAAGGAGTCACGAACCGTGCGGGGCAGCCACGGGCGGGACACGCGGGAGCTCCACGCGGGCTCCCTGGGGAGGTCTCCGGGGAGAGGTCCCCCAGTGACACCCGGAGCCTCCAGCGTGGCTGTGCTGGCCATAACTTAATTGGCTTTCCCGGGATACAGAGAGGGAGGAGGAGGGAGGAGCGCTGCGGGGACGGGCGGGTCCTTGGCCGCGGGCAGGTCCCTGCTCTCATCATATACAGTTCAGTTCGTTTAGCGTCTGGTCCAGTGTCTGGTGCAAGCCCAGGTTCTCCTCTTTGGCTTGGGCAAGTTTTTCTAGTGAGAAAGAAGGAAAACACAATTAAAGCCACGTTATCTTACAGCTTTTTCACTTCAATAAAACCTGTGGTGACTTACCTTGGTGTTCAACACTCCTCTACAGCTGGAGCATCTTTTTGGCAATTGCTCTCATTTAGGGAGGGTTTTGGCCAGATTTGTGTTCTGACTCAATGAGTGATGTACAGGACACATCCTGCTGGGTTTTCCTTGCACTGAGAGGTTTTTAACCAGGCAGATGGAGCACAAGGACACACCAAAAGCACCCAAAGCTTTTGGCTGCCACCTGTGCGTCCTGGGAACACTAAAAAAACTGAGGTGGTGTTTGCCAGTGCCAGGTCCTGCCCTGGCTGTGCCTGCCCTTCCCTGTGTGAGGAGCTGAACATGTTTTTGGTGGTGTCACCAGTGCAGTTTAGGCAAGTCCTAAGAAAGGAAACCCCAAAGGCTGACAGGTAGAGGTATCGTGTTTTATTGAGCTCAGCGCCCACAGAGGTGGAAGGGGCACTTGTGGAAGTGGCACAGGAGTGACAGGGACGACAGGCAAGAAAAGCTTGAGAAACGCAGCGAGAGGGAGCCCCACCCCCGTGTCCCCACACAGGGACAGGTCACAAAGAGGTCATGTCATTGAGGGCATGGTCAAGCTCCTCACTGATGGCTTTGTACTTCAGCTTCTGAGCGTAGAGCTCGTCTGTCGGTCAGCAGGGCCAGAAATGCAGGCAAGAGAGGAGGCCACAGGAGGAGGAGACAGGCAGGAGGCAACAGCAGCAAAAGCAGTTGGGGAGGAAAACAAGAGAAGAAAACAGAGGCGTGGTTGAGTATCAGGAGGGAAGCAAAACACCCACAGAGCTGCCCGGTCAGGAGCTTCACCTACGTTTCCTTTTTGCAATCCCACAATTATTTTTTCAGTAAGCAGATTAAGCAGGGTTGGGATCTTGAGCCCTTGAGTCCCTGGGTTGGCCCAAAGCAGGTTGTTGTTCCCAACTTTTTGCAGGAAGATCTCTTTCAGAACTTCCCAGCAGACACATCACACCCATCTACCGATACACCTGATGAGTGCTGCTGCCCTTTGCCAATAAAACCCACCACCCACTCCTAGAATTTGTTTTCTCATTTGGAACCAACCGCTTTTAAAGAAATTTGAGCCATTCCATACCTTCCAGGTCATCAATAGACTTTTCCAGTTTGGCAACGGTTCTCTCTGCAAATTCAGCACGAGTTTCAGCCTAAAAAAAGTCGAAATAGAGTCATTGGATGCTCTTAAAAGAAATGATGTCAAAATACAGGTTGGGGATGGCCAAACTCACTTCTTTCAGCTTGTCAGAGAGAATCTTGATTTCTTCTTCGTATTTATCTTCTTTTTCCGAGTACTGTGAAAACAATAAACACTCTTTAAGGGAAGTGGTAGCAACAATAATAAATGTTTATGAAACTGTGACCTATTTATAACCACTTTTCCTTTTACAACAGCTGCAAACACCATTTCCGTGGTTTTCTCTTCTTCCCCAGGCTTTTCAGGCTGGTGTGGGCAGAACTGATGGAGCAGGAGCCACAGCCAGGCAGCTAAAACCTCTCACTTTGCTTTATTTCTATGAATTTTATTTACAAGTTTTGGCTTTGCCTGTACCCCTCAGTTTACTGCAAGAACCAACCTTTTCAGATTGAGCTTCCAAAGACTTCAGGTTGTTTGTGACGTTCTTTAACTCCTCTTCGAGGTCACTACATTTACTATGGGGGGGGGGATAATAAAAGCATGAATTACTGGTGTGATTTAAGTTTCAAAGAATTTAAAACATACAAGGAAGGAGGTAATGAAGTCTGAAAGGAGAAAAGTGGGTATATAATGCACAAACAAGCTATTCTACAGGTACTGATTACACGCCTGCCTACCAGGAGTAGATTTTTCTAATGAAATGCAGTGTTGACTTTCAGTGTATTCTAAGCAGTTACTCACACTTCAGACACCTCTGCACGCTCCTCAGCTCGTTCCAGTTCACCCTCCAAAATAACCAGTTTACGGGCAACCTGTAAAGACACAACAGCTCTGTCAGGCCAGTCTGTCGTTCACAGGATCCCAAAATGCTTTGGGTTGGGAAGGACCTTAAAGATCATCTCATTCTACCCCCTTGCCACAGGCAGGGACAGCTTCCTTACAGATTTCTCTCAGAGCACTACACTCCTGCTTCCTTTGGAATTAGAATAAATTAGAATAAAACACTCCCCCCAGACAGAACAGACTCCCCAATTAGATCAGATTTTGCAGCGCTTTTAGCATCAAGATGCTGCAAAGTCACTATGAAAACTCCTCTTTGCTGGGAATGTTCCAAGTGCACGACAAGGGACTGAAGCTGGGAGGGAAGTTGCTGCTCAGAGCTCTCCTGAACGTTTCACCATTTCCTTCTCCCTTTTTACCTCCTCGTATTTGCGATCGGCCTCCTCGGCGATGTGCTTGGCCTCCTTCAGCTGCATTTCCTGAATCTCCATTTTCTCTTCATCTTTCATTGCTCTGTTCTCAATAACCTTCATTCCCCTGCAGAAGTCAAAGAGTGTTTAATGTAGAAGCGTTTCAGCACTTCTGTCCCAAAGGTCCTGAAGTGGAATTTGTTATTTGTAACCCAGAAATGGCCCATTATGACCATCCATGTTCTTCAAGGCTAAAGGAATTACTCGCTCAAGCTTGTAAAGAAGTCCTGAATCTTTGACCTGCAGATACTAAATTATACAGGAATATTTTATTCATAGATAATAAATTTTTTACCAAGAGAAACTCCCAAAGGGACATACCTCTCGCTCTCATCTGCTGCTTTCTCAGCCTCCTCCAGTTTCTGCAGGGCTGTGGCCAGTCGTTCCTGGGCACGATCCAACTCCTCTTCCACGAGCTGGATGCGTCTGTTCAGAGCTGCCACCTCCCCTTCAGCCTGTGAAACAACCACCCAGACCCCGGGTCACACTGGCTGCTGGAAAACCTTCCCAATTTATCAGTTCCCTTAAAACTGCAAGGCATCTCCCTGGAGCTCCAGGGGCCCTTCTGCCTCTGCTTTTTGTTTGCTTAAACTGTGGCATCTCAGGAATGTCAAGGTATGGAGTGTGTGCTTGTCCTTTCTTTTTTTTTTTTAATGGTACTTATCATTCCTGCCACACAACAAAGGACAGGATTGCCAAAGGATCGAAGTATTTTTGGATCACTTTACTGGGCTGAATCTATCTACGGTTCAAAAACGAACTGTTCCCACAATGGCTTAGTTCCAAAACCTTCACTGTTGGTTTCTCTGCCCTTGGTTCCCTCCTGGACCACAGTCACAACCCACTGCTGAGGTCTGAGCCAGTTCCTTTTCCATCCTGGCTCCCAAGCCTGCCAACACTGAAGAATCTTCCTGGTCAGCTGGGCCTGACAGTTGGGCTCAACATGGCAGAGTCAGGGTTTTTGGGGGCAAAATTAGATATGTTCTTAAAATAAGTTCAGTTTGCTTCCTGTGCTACTTCAGGAATTAGGCAGAAAGCATTTCCTAATAAGGTCTGTTTGTATATAAACTGCTCAGTAACTGGAGTGCTATCAATGTATAAAAAATATACTAACTTATAAATGGAGAGACTGCTGGGAGAAAGGCCTGATACAGACAACATGGACAAACTGGTGTCCATAAATACGTGTTTATTAAAGATATGGCTCCTTTAATTGCTTGTTTTTGAAGGAAAATAAAGCCCTGCTTTCATAACTGCCAGGTTTGTGCACTTTATTGTCCCCAAATCTGAGCAGGATTGCCATATATAAGACAAACTTTTTTTAAAAACACTTTTATGGGCTATAGACCCTGGAAGGGTGATTGTTTCATGCTTTATGTTAAAACACTTTGGAAAAAAAAAAAAAAAAAGTGTTTTGCTGCAGCTTTGCAAATTTGGTCACTGACCACTCCTAAGCTGGAGGAAGTGGTTTCCATTCACAGCTGAGCCATCTTGGAAAGGCGTTCAGTGGCTGATCCAAATGGAAGCTGACCCAGGATTCCTCTAGTCATAAATTATCCAACATTTCATTTGTTTTTTACCCAGTGCCGTGTTTAACTTTCTCGATTTGCGCACAAGGCATCGACCATGTACAAAAACTGGCATCTGTTCTGTGGCAGCAACTCCTTCCTCTAGACAGGGCACTTTTAAGTCATATTTTAATTCAGCGAGATTCCAAAGCTCTGGAGCCGGGGCCACTGGGAAGCTGGGGTGAGCCTGGCTCCACCTCTCCCAGCAGCAGCCCGCAGTCCTTATACGGTAAAACTAACTCGCTGACATGTGATAAAATAGCAGGAAGATGCCGGGAAGGCTGATTACACACAAATCTAAGTGAAACCAGCTGTCCAGCCCCGGGAGAGCCGCACGCTAGTGGAGAGTTCGCGTTTCTCTCTGTGAGAAAACCAGGAGGGAAAGTTATTTTTCAGCAGTTCGGACATTCCCCAGCTGTGCCGGAGCCAGCGGTGCGGCGCCGAGAGGCGGGAACTCCCCGCTCCGTGTCATGCAGCGCTTTTCCCTAATTAAACAGCCATTTCCTACTAAACTCGCAAGCGCTCCCCGGTGCCCACGGGAGCTCGAACGCGGGGCCGGTGGGTGCCCCTGTTCCGCAGGGATCGGCCCCAAAGCGCGAGAAGCAGCGGGCGCCGGGGCCGCGCCCGGTTCCCCCCGCGACGGGAGCGGCCGGGACGGGACGGGACGGGACGGGACGGGACGGGGCGGGCGCTGCGGCAGCGCCGGTGGCTCCCGCGGGCCGAGCGTGCGGAGCGGGAACAGCCCGGGGATGGAGGCGGCCGAGGGATGGGCGCAGCCCAGCCGTCCTCCCGCGGCGAGGGGAGAGCCAGCGAGAGAGAGCCAGAGACAGGAAGGAAGGAGCAGCCCGGCAAGAGAGCGACCGAGAAGAAGGCGAGCAGGCAGCAGCCCCGGGCGGTCTCACTTTCTCCCGCAGGTCCCGTTCTAGGTCCAGCTCCCGCTGGAGGACCTGGGCGCGATCCTCCGCCTCATCCGCCTGTTGCTGCAGGCACTGGATCTTCCTCTTGACGGCCTCCAGGGAGCTCGGCGCGGCCATGGGCGCGGCGGGCACGGCGGGCTGGGCGCGGAGGTGCTGCACGTGGCGGCCCCGCGCCTTTCAATGGCCCGCTGACGTCACGCGGCTGGAGGTGGAGGTAGAGCTGGTGACGTCGCGCCGAGCAGGGACGGGACCGTCCCGCCCGTCCCCTCCCCGTCCCCATCCCGCTCCCTGCCCCTATCCGTCCCCCTGCCCGTCTCCATCCCCGTGACGGGGGGGGGGGATGCAGCCCGCGCGCTCCGGCCACACCTCCCGGTCCTAAAAATGCGGGGAGGGGGGTTCGGGGTTGGTGACGCCGCTGCCGGGCCTTGCCGAGGTGTGGCGGGGGAGCCGGGAATGCTCTTTAACCCTGGGGATGGAGGCAAAGGGCATCTTTGCGCCACAGCTGGAGCCCTGCTGCTGCCCCGGCTTCCCGCAGAGATCACCATTTTGTTTACGTGATGAAAGGAGATTTCAGCTTTCCTAAAGGATTCCCACCCACAGCACTTCCTTCCTCCCCCTGTTTCAGTGCCATCGGTTCTCCTCTGGGTGTCCATCGAGCCCCGAGCGGCAGCGGGTCCCGGGGGCAGCTGCGTGTGCCGTGGGCTCGGTGCAGAACAGCTCCGGCTCCCTCTGGCAGAGGGGAGAGGAGATGAAATCCCTGCACCACAACCCTGCCTTTCTGTCCTCAGCCAAGTCCTGCATAGAAATTCTCAGCCGTTCCTGTAAGCAGTGTAGTACTTACAAAATACACAGAGTTACAGGGGAGTGGGTACATACATCAGTGGCCTTCTTCTCAGCCTGCTCCAGTTTTTCCTGGGCATCTTTGAGAGCCTCCGAGTACTTGTCCAGCTCATCTTCAGTTCCTTTCAACTTCTTTTGCAGAGCTACCAGCTCATCCTCTACCTTTCAAGAGAGAAAACCCCCAAAATGAGCATCCTGATGTAGTATCAGATACAGTCTAATATGATAAAACCTCTTTTTACTATTAGTTTAACCCAATATAACATAGAAAGAGTCACAAAAGACCAGATCAAAGTTTTGCTGGGGACAACAGTTTGAGAATAACTGGTAACAGTTGTCAGGGAAAGATCACTAAAAACATCTCGCCCTTGAAGAACATTCTCTGCCACTGCACACATGGGATCTGTGTTAATACAGAACTTGGTATAAGCCCTTTTCCACCCCATTTTTATTTTGGATGCTCTGCAACAATCAGTTTTGCAGCATAATTATAAACGTTTTTAAATTATGTCCCTGTGTTTGTTCCAAGACTTGGTGATTTGTCAGGAAACTATTCAGTTCCTGTACAGCTGGAAAAAATGAGTGGTCGTTCCCTAAACACCTTTGTGTGAGGTTCAGGACACTTCAACCCAAATGGAAGTGGGAGGGAACAGGGCTGGCCCTGCTGTAGGAGGGACTTGGTGACCTCGGGAGGTCCCTTCCAACCTGGATTATTCCCTAACCGTGGCCCAGCAAGATATGCTCCATCCTACCATGAGGCTCAGACTCCTCCATACCATATAAATCCATATTGTTCACTACAATGGTGCTATTTATAACCTGCTGGGAGACTGTTTAATGACAAACTGTCTCATGCTCCCTGAAGAATTCACGTTATCAGAGGCTGGCTGCTGATAAGGGTGGGCCTGCAAACCCATCTGCTCCATCCTTTCATTTGCAACTCAAAACAGCTCAGACTGCTGAGAAACTGATTTATCTCTTCAGCTCCACCTTCACAGGAATTTAGTCTATCAAAATAGTTTGTGTTTTGCTGCACTTCCTTCGTTTTAGTTTCAACGATGAGGACATTTTTGGTAGCGTGCTATTCTGGAACGTTGTTATGTTGCAGAAGTTTTACTCAGAGTAACCAGAGAGTGTGAGAGAACTGAAACCTTCCTTGGGTGCAGTGGGACAGTGAGCAGCAGGATGAAGGTGATGCTGCCTTTGTGTATGAATATTAAAATCACTACTTGAGTACTATGCCCACATTAAAAAAAAAAAAAAAAAGCTGAAAATTTTGAGACAATTCAGAAAAGAGGAGTAAGATCAAAGATTTATTTTTCTAAAGAAAAAGAAGTATTAGGCCAAATGAATGCTAATAACACATTAGAGCAGTCTGGAAGACGTAGTAGAAGCAGCCACATTTAGAGAATGTAAAAGGGAAGGGTGGTAATTTTACAAGGAGCGCTGTAAAAACTTGAGTGCAGTCAACTTAACATTTCAAGATTGTTCTGAAAATCCTAAAGCTCAGATGGGAGGCAGAAACCCAGAATGAAGACATTGAAAAGCAAAAGAACTGCAAATGTTATCATTAAAATTCAGCTAAAAGCAGAGCATCCAAATGAAGATATTTTTGATTATTCTTGACAAAAATGATAGAAGATATCTACTGCTGAGTCTTAGTTGGCTCCTCTAAGGGGCACTCTGTGCACCAAGGACTTGAAGTGAACTTTATTAATTTGCTTCAAGGAGAGGCTTAATTAATGTTTAGACACAGCTGACTCTATTAGCAGTAGTCCTACAGGTGTCAAGGCTTCAGCTTTGATTTTGAGTATGTAAAGGCCTTTTCCGTGGAATCAAAAGCACAAGAAAATTAAGGCAATTATGTAAGATTTAAGCAAACTTAGACAAAGTACTGTTAATAAATCTGGGGATGATGTTAATTTTGCAAAGACTGAGATGGCTGAGAAGTTACTGCCTAGTCCTGGCTGCATAAGCGTAACAAAAAGGCGAAAAAACTTCAAAAGAAGATTAACAGCAAACCTGACTTCAAATCATTTTGCTTTCTGAATCAGAAAATTGCAGCACAGTATTTTGTGACACTTATTTTCACAGCACACACACAGCCAGTGATTTTATTTCCACTTACCTGCTTGCATTTGTCCTCAGCTGCCTTTTTATCCGTCTCAGCCTGCTCTGCTCGGTCAATGGCATTCTCCTTGTCCAACTTCAGCATCTGCATCTTTTTCTTGATAGCTTCCATTTTTGCTCAAGGCTGGGTTGGATCTGTCACGCAACTGAAAGAATCTGATGAGTGAAATTTTAGATTTTTAACAGCTTGGGCAGAGAAAGAAGTTGTACCCTGGCAAGTCACAGGGAAAATGAGCTCAAGTGGTTGTACGGATCTTTAAACCCAGAGACCCCTGGACAAATCCCAGATCTCCTGGCCTGTTCTCTGATCTTCCATCCACAGCCTTTCTAAGGAATGAGCTGGAACAGGCTCACTAGAGGAATCTTCACCACTCCACCATCTCCTTATTTGGGTCCTGTTTTCTTAAAGAGAAAACTGTTTCCATTTTTAAGCTTCTGACAGAAGCAAAAGTGTTGACATATGAACACATGCTTGAAAGAAAGCTGCTTAGCACCCGTTGGTGTGTGCAGAGCAATTAACCAGCCCAGCAGATCTGTGGGGATGGCCTGGCTGCCTGGAATAATGGCATGAGGCTAATGGAGGAAAGGGAAGGATCCTTTTGGATTGCTCCAAAATAAAGCCCTGCATAAAATAAATAAGTAAGTAAATAAATGAATAAATAAATCCTGCGCTCAAGAGGTAGCCAAATTTATGTTATAAAAAGATGCAGGATAGAGACAGCAGGGTTTTTTTGCTGTAAAAATAAGCCCTGGTGTTAAGGAACTGACTATAATCTGTGATAGTATAACACATAACAGAGCTCAGATTTAGATACCAAGTTCAGGCTCAATGCATTCTCTGAGTTTGAGTGCTTGTCCTTGAAATTTCCCTCACTAAACACTTGGGGAACTGAACAATACCTGAAGTCGCAGTCTGATGAGCACCGTAAATTATTTCTTCTGCTGTTTGAAGGAGTCACCTTCTCTCTGTCAGGCAAGAGCAGGCTCCAGGAAGAACATCAGGACACCAAGTAGAGAATCCAACAGCCCCAGGACAAGCCCTTGTTTCCTTCTGCAGCTCTGTTAAACACATCCCCCTAACCCCATGCCCTCTCCATCCCTTTCCATGCTCTCGCTGAGCCTCCCAACCCAACACCTGCCTTGTGCTGACTGCAGCAGGGCTGAATTACTGCACCTTCCAGGGCAGCCTGACAGCACTCGCTGACTTTGCTCCCCGTGGACCTGTGTGGAGTCAGGGAATATCCTGAGATGGGTTCCACAGGGATCATCGAGTCCAACTCCTGGCCCTGCAGAGGACACCCAACCATCCCACCCTGTCCCTCAGAGCATTGTCCAAGCAATCCTTGAACTCTGTCAGCCTTGGGGTCGTAACCACTGCCTTGGGGAGCCTGTTCAGTGCCCACCACCCTGTGGGGAAGAACCTTTTCCTGATATCCAGCCTTCACATTCCCCCAGTTCTTTTCCCAATCCAGGTCCTGTTGACCACCCAGGTCACTCACAGCCCAAATTCCCTGCACACCCTCACAACCCCTCAGTCCTCACAAGCACTCACAGCATCCCCAGCCATGAGGGCACCAGGAGACTCAGCACAACACCCAGAACTCCCCCAATCCTCTGGGGTGAGCTGGCAAGGCACCAAAAGGCCTCCAGGAGAGACTTTTACGGGAAAATCTGCCCTTTATTTAGCTAAACACGACAGCAGAGTGGACACAAAGCCAACACCAGCACGATGCCCGTGAGCAGGGCCAGAGCCCAACAAGGAGCCCCCACAGCACCCACTGGGCTGCCCTTTGTGAATGATTGTGCTGGGTTTGTTTGGAGTAGAGTGTATCTTCCTCACAGTGGCTGGCGTGGGGCTGTGTTTTGCTTTTATTTTTTGCTTTCCCTATCAAACTGTCTTTATCTCAAACCACGAGTTTCCCAGCTTTTACTCTTCCTGATTCTCTCCCTAATCCCCCGCTGGGGGGAGTTAAGCGAGCGGCTTGCGTGGTGCTTTGTTGCCGGCTGGGGTTAAACCACGACAACGATTTACTGGGTTTTAATTCAAAATTAACTAAATTACTAAACCCAAGCCTCTCCCCCTTGCACTGCCGGTGAGGGTCTCGACTCCCGCCCCAAGATGGCGGCCGGAGGCGCCCCCAGGGGGCTGTGCTGAGGCGGCGCCAAGATGGCGGCGCGCCGGGACTGCAGCTCCCGGCGGGCTGAGGGCGATGGGCCCGCCCCTCACCCGGCCCCGGGCACCGCCTCATGAACGGCGGTTAGATGTTAAATAACGCCGCGCTCAGCCGTTTGGTCTTTCTGGTTTTGTCTTTTTTTTTCCTTCTTCTCCTCCTATATATAAAAAAACAGTCGGAATTTTTAACGGTTCGAAGCCGAGCGTTTGCTGAGTAACCGGTGCTGGCTTTTGCCACTTAACGTGTTCCCGCCCCTCAGCACACCTGATGTAATTAAATCTGCATTTTCCCCCTCAAAATTTACCACATTTCTCTCCCCTTCTCCAGCCCGAAGGTACCGATGAAACACCGTGGTTCCAGGGGCTTTTTTTTTTGTTTCCCCCCTCCAATTCTGATGATTTTAGAGGCCTAAATGATTCTGCGATTTGAACAGTAGAAGGTGAAACCACTCAGGTCCTAAACGTGGGAGCGGGTTTAAGGTCAGCCACCGCTGCGCTGAGCTGCCTCTTTGGCACAGCCGTGGTGATCCCCACCGGCTTTCTTCGGGATAACATACAAATTTAATAACTCTTCTCGGTGGTCCAGCTCACGCTGCTCCTGCCACTTCCCTCCCTTGATCGTCACTGCCATCCTACTTCCAGACCTGTTCCACCCCGTGGTCCCGCACGCCACGAGGCTGGATGAGCTCTGTTTGTGGCTCTGTTTCAGAGGAGCAGGTTTTGGGGTGCAGCTTTGCAGGCACATCAAGCAGGGGAGGAAACCGAGGGGGGAAGGACTGCGTTGGCCCCGTTTGACCCGGCACATGTAGGAACTCGTGTGATGGAGGCAGATGCAAGACCATACACGCTGCTCTGTGGGACTACAGCTGCTTGTACCTTGAGGTGTGGATTTTGAGCTGTTCCTACGGCTGCTCTTGCAGCCTCTTCACAATTTCTATGATTGAGAGGAGCACAAGTGGCTTTCCAGCCAGCTCACCAAGCCCCCTCCTGCCGCAGGCTCGGGCAAGCTCGGAGTCAGGGCTGGGGAAGCAAACGCTGAACAAGACTCTTCTGCCTTTCTATTTCTACTGCAGGAAGGTAATTTTTCTAATCAGCTCTTCAGCGTGACTCAGAGCCACATTTAGAAAGGAACATCAGGGAACATGTCACCCTGTGTAGCCTTTCAACCAGGTACTTCTTCTCTTCCCTGCTTCACGAGCCGCAGAGAAAGACCTGAAAAATTCACTCGGTGATGATAATCCCATCACTCCCACAGCCTCTGGCTTTCATTAGCTTGGGAAACAGTGATCGACCAAGAAAGAGGAGAAAGAAGAGCCCTCCAAACAATTTATTTTTCTTTTGTTTCAGGCAGGCAGGAAGGTGCTGTACAGTCTGTAAGAGTTCTTTCGTTTTTCCTTTTCTTTCAGAGGGACTGTTTGGGCTGAGCACGGCTTGGCAAGGTTGGTGTGTAAATATGAGAGGATACCAGAAGGAAATGAAGTTGGATTGTTGGAGAGTGTGCTCATTCCTTTGGCAGCTGGCTGCCTGGGAAGCCTGTCACAGCAGGCATCTGAACAGACTGGGGGTGGTCGGACCCGTGGCCTGAAGTCTGGCAGGTCTCAACATTTTCTGTGCTCTCAATCCCTACTCTTTTTTTTTTTTTTTTTTTTTTTTTTGTGGCCCAGAAGTTAGCTGGGACCCACACCATGTTCCTTTTCACTGTCTGGGAAAACCAGGCACTTTACATCCCCCACTTTGTCCTGCAGCTCCCAATCTGCTCTAAACGTTGGTCTTTAAAGATCTCCTTCCTCTCTTTCACACTGATCCAGCTCCAGCTCCTCCTCATATGCCAAGCTGCATGTGTCAAGGCTAGAAACGTTTAAAAGGAGAATAAAGAAGCTGTTGACAATCCTTTACCAAATTCCTTCGTTTTATTAATGTAAGTAGCTCCTAACAATCCACTGTCTTGTAAAGTTTCTGTTGTAGAGACTATATAATACAGTGTATCATTAGCAAAGGTGGCACTAGACTGAGCATCAAACTCGTCTCTTCCTGGCTTTTCCTTTTAAATGACAAAATCTGTAAACTATCACATCTCACTGAATTTCTGTGCTTTGTGGGCTCTCCCTGCAGGGCTGTCTCCCAGGCTGGCAGCACCAATCAGTAATACCCCTCTCTCATACTTTCTCATTGAAGTATCCATTACTCACCACGGATGAACACAAGGTACCGAACTAGGTGTGACCAAAATGGTAGATGTGCTTTTCCTATATCTATATCCAAGGGAAATTCACCACTCCTCTTAAATAATCCTGGTTATCTGCATTTCCCAGCAGTGTCTTTGAACACCTGAGATGCTGAATTTGACGCTGCTTTGAATAGGATGGCAGAATTCACTCAGCACCTGAGATATGCCTGTCTTGCTGCCAGCATCTGGTACAGCAGAAGAAAGCAAATCCCACCCTGAATGCCTGTTAACGTTCCTGGACAGTACAGAATGGAGAGGACGCCAGAAGAGGAGGAATCAGCAGCATCTGCTGCAAGATTTTGGCTGCCGTTCCTTTCTCTGGGCTGCCCTTCCCCGGTGAGACCCTTCAGTCACAGAGGGAGGATTTGCCTTTAGAGCAAAGGACAATCTGTGCTGATCATCCACTCCCTCTTTGGTTTTTGCTGTTCCAGCCCATTGCTGGCCCCGGCGAGCGCTTTCAGCTCTCTCTCTTGCCGTTAGATGGCAATGCAGATCCACAGATCCCCTCCCTTCCTGGAAAAGAATCGTGCAGCAGCTGGAATGGCTCGTAGAAACTCAAATCTTCTACCTCACCTTTGGAGACCGAGGCACCTGAATGTGTTTCACCTGGAAGGAATGGAGCTGGATGCCTGGGATGGCAGCTCCTGTGCATTCACTCTCACTCCATTTGGGCCCTCCTTGGTGCACAGAAGTTTATTTTTTTCGCTCTTCCAGCAGTTAATTCATTTGTCTCTTGCTCTGCTGTTTCCACCACCATTTTGTTGTCTTGCTTGTTCCTCAGCTTCTTGCCAGCCCTGGCAATGAGTGAGTCATGGGCTGCCTCAGGCCAAACCCTGGAGGATACAGGCTCCTTCTGAGGGTCATGAATCTCTCATCTGGGAGGTTATAAAGAACTGCAGTGAGAAATAGCTACCACCACAAAATGCTTTCCTCCATACTCATTTTTCAGCTTTTCCATTGTCTGCACTTGACTGGTTCATTTAACATGTGCATTACTGGTTTTTTTTTTTTCCCCTTCACGTTGCCTTTTCCACCAGAAAATGCCACCAACTCACATCCAACTTTTGCTCAGAAAACTTCCAGGTTCATTTGTGTTCCAAAACCAGGCAGGTTTGATCCTTCAGAACTGAATATACATATTTTTTTTTTACTTCTGGAGCCTGTTTGAAGTTCAATCCCATGCCAAACCCAGTCCACCAGCCCTCATGCAATATTGTTGCTGGGCAGCCAGCCAGGACAACTGTAGGGCCTTTTGGAGTTTGATTTGGGTATTTGCAGCAGGATCTGTCTGACTTGGTGACTTCAGCTGCTTTAGTGGCAGGAATCCTCGTTTGTACCAGAAAAAATTAAACTACAATCAAACCCCATCCTTTTTTAAAAAATCTTTTATACTGGTGGAGCAGATGGAGAGCTCCTGACTGTGGTCTAGAACAGGGCAGGATGGTGGGCAGGTTTGCCCCCATGCCAGGCAAAGATGGGATATTGGAGCTTCCCTCATCACTCACACCTCCCATACACGTTAACACAAGCACCTTCCAGCTTTTCTGGATTTCAGATGATCTAAACAATGAGGATTTTGTCCTAATCCCCAGGAGAAGTGCTCCTCCCTGCCAGAAAGGCTCTCTTTATTCCTGCTGCACAAGAAGTTAATAGTGTTCCTGAGCCCTCTTGCAGATGTGAGCAGTGTGCTGCAGATAAGTTATATCAGGAGAAAGCGTTATCACTTGGGCTTACATATTTTGTGCTTATCCATTGGACTCTAAAAAGCTGTTGCATTTAATTACTCATTCCTCAAAGCTTTTATTAATCATTTATTAGCTCTTTGTTCCTTTTGCTGCAGATGTAACTTGACATATAAAGTGAGCCCAGTTATTTCATAACCAAGCACATCTCAGGAGGAGGAAAGCACTGAGTGATAGGAAGGGCCTTACTCATCTTGGCACGGGGTGGTACAGCTCTAGTTGGGGCCTCTGGGACTTCAGAAATATAAATATCAATGCCCCATCACCTGAGATATCTGTGGCACTGAGGAATTAGGTGGTTCCTCAAAGCCTTACAGGCTCTGCCAGGGGAAATCAGGGTCAGTTTTCCCACAGACGTTTCAGCTTCCCTGTGACTTCTAAAAGGATACAGAAACCTTCAGACCCTTATGGAAACCTTTATTTCCTGTAGGAACCTTTATTTCCTTATTGAGCAACATCCCCTTTCTCCTCTGTCAGCCTCTTGAAGGAAAGGAGCACAACAAACAGCAAAACAGCCCCTGTCAACCCCCTAACAAACCCCCACCTTCCTAAGAAAGAAGCATCTCTATTCTGGCCATATAAAATATTAAGGCCCAGGATCATCTCAACCAGCTTGAGATGTCTTAATAAAGCACCCAATTTAGGCAGGTGTTTCTCTTTTGCTCTAGTCAATGGAGTAAGGAAGCTCTGAGAGCAGGAGACATTTGATAAATGCTGTTGCTTTATTTCTTCCCCCCATAAAAGCATCACAGCCCACCTGGGTTTTAAATTGCTTTTCAGGCTTTCCTAATGAATGTCTCTGAATGTTTCCATGTTTTTTTGTTTGCCCTCAATATGGGGAAAAGCTTTAAGTCAACAAGTTTTTATTTGATTTGTAAACAATGCCAGAGTGACACATTATCACAGATCCCCAAAATTCTGACCCAATGTCTTTTCCTCCAGAGATGATGTGCCAGAGACACCACCCAAACAGGCTGCCAGGTGACAGAAATGAAAATAACTCGGAGGAAAGACCATCTAGAACTTTATTCTGTCTCTGTTTAGCCCACAAACCGTCAGGAGCTGGTGAAATAATTGCTTTGGACAGATGATAAAACATCCTCCAGCAAAACTAAGGTACTTAATATACTGCCCAAGTCAATTTCCCTTATTTCTGCTGTCCTCTTGCTTTTAATAATGGTTTAATGAAAAATTCAAAATTAATTGAAACTGGCATTAGACATTCACGTGTTCCAGTGAGGGTTTCACTACTTCAATATTTCATAAGCTGACTTCACTGCTGTGCTTCTCCTTATCCTGCTTTCCTAGGCTGGGATATCATCCCTGCTCATAAAACGAAGAGTCCCAGTGTGGGCAGATGGGGGTTTGTGAGGAAAGTTTGCAGCCACATCACAGGCAAAGAAATAAAAATAATATCCGTGTGTTTTCCTCCTGCCACCATCCCCCCCTTTCCGTATAATGATATTCATCTGAGCCTTGATGGGAAAGAGCTGTCCTAAAAATAACCAGGATCTGTCTGAAAGGTGTCTGAGGGAGGTTTTTGGCAGCTGTCAGGCTGTCACATATGCTGGGAGGATGGAGCTGATGGACTCTCTGACACCAGACAGGCTCTGCTGAGATGAGGATGCCTTATGCTCCCCTTGGCACTCACCTGGCAAATCCTCTTGGCCAGAGCCAGCAGACCTCGGTGTGTCTGGGGCCTCTTCCAGGTCTGGCTGCCATCAATGAGAGTCTGCCCTTGGATGGCACTGGGAGTTGGATCAGCCCCTTGCTGTACCCCTGAGGCTCTGGCTGCACACCAGGGATGATGAAGTTTGGCTCCCCAGGTGAATGTCACCCCAACGGAGAAGGAATCACCAGGCCCTGGGCTTGGAAGTTTCTGTAAGCCTCTGAAAATGAGACCCCTCCCTGAGGTACCTGGATATGGGACCAGATGACCTTTACTTTTTTTTTTTTATTATAAAAGCTTTGCACCTCAGTTTCTCCTTCTCTAATAGGGGTGATGTGGTCCTGCCTTCAACATTCACAGAATCACAGAATATGCTGAGTTGGAAGGGACCCACAAGGATCATCGACTCCAACTCTTAGCCCTGCACAGGACTAACCCCAAGAGTCACACTTATGTGCCTGAGAGTATTATTGACACCTCTGCAGATCCAGGTGGTTTTTAAATGCTCCCAGACCATGACTGTGCTGAGAGCAGTTCCTGTTCCCTGCAAGGCCCTCAATGGACACGAGTTCCACGTGTTACAAGGTGAGCAAACAGAAACACCAAGGCGTGACGTTGACTCATCTCAAGCCTTTGAAGCAACTCAGTGGCAGAGCGAGGACCCAGCAATCCCACACCCCACCAAAACAATCATACCTTTGGAGTGACCCAAGATGGGGAGAAAATGTTGCGAGCAGAAGCTTCAGTTCTTCTTAAATGCACAAGAAAATCTCCGCTGCCCGTGGGGTAACTGGAGGCATTTTGCTGCTGTTCTTGGCAGAGGCATAATGTGCTGGGGATGGAAAAGAGTGGGATGAAGACAGGCTGGAAACCTCGTTCCTCCATCAGAGAGCGGACACTTCTTTTGTTCTCAATGGGAGCTGCCTTCTGCCATATCTGAAAATCAGGCTGTTTTGTTATCTACTGGGCAAGAGCAGACTCTGAACTCAACTGTCTTGCAGCCCTTCGGTCTGAAAATACCGGTCTGTGTTAAGAAGAACGGATGAGGGAATTAATTCCTGTAATATGGGCTGCAGGAAGTTACCTCCAAGATAAGAGGGTGACTTGATCTTTTTGAGAAAAAGAGAAAAAAAGGCTTCCTTATCTTGATGGTGTTTGCTCTGAAGTATCATCTTGTGACTGCCAGAGTGTGCCTGGCAGGATCAGTCAATGACAGCCGGCTCTCGTGGCTGGCATCACTTCCTTCCTTTTGGAGGTGTCCTTGTATTTCCCAAAGTGTTGCCTGTTCCTCTCGGTGCTCCAAGGCTTCTGTTCCCAGTTTTCCTGGTGTGCCTGGAGTCCCGTGACGCTGCTCCCACTCACGTGCCGAGCAGGATACGATCAGCCCTGCAATTAGGCAGGGATCCGAGAGGAAGAGGAAATCAAGATGATGAAGCAACGAGGAGCACGTGTGAGTCAATATCAGCTATCTGAGGGTATGATGAGCACTGAGTGAGTCCTACCCCTTCTGGAGGGTCCCAGGCTGTTCGTGTACAGTGACTGTACAGACCTCCTGGGGAAATCTGCACTGGTGAGGGGTGTTCACACAGCCAGGCTTTATCTCTTCAGGGGGCTCTGGTTCTCCTCCATCAGGAATTTCACAGGATCACAGAATATGTTGAGTTGTAAGGGACCCACAAGGATCGCTGAGTCCAACTCCTGGCCCTGCCCAGGACACCCCAACAATCCTCCCCTGTCCCTCAGAGCGTTGTCCAAACGCTCCTGGAGCTCTGGCAGCCTTGGGGCTGTGCCCACTGCCCTGGGGAGCCTGGGCAGTGCCCACCACCCTCTGGGGGAAGAACCTTTTCCTAATATCCAACCTAAACCTCCCTGACACAGCTCCAGCCTTTCCCTTAGGTCCTGTCACTGGTCACCACAGAGAAGAGATCAGAGCTGCCCCTCCACCTCCCCTCATGAGGAACCTGTAGACTGCAATGAGGCCCTAATTTTCCACTATGCAGCGTACTTTGCTTCATTAAAATGGCCACATTAAATAGCCGTGAAGTTCCTAAATGCCTATTTTGCCAACAGGTCTTCTCCCCAGCTGGCAGCTTTTCAGAGCAGGAGACACGAGGTTGCTAAAGCCATTCATTTCTCACATGCACCCACGTTTCTAATGGCTGTGGAGATCCAGCTTTAAAGTCCTCTGAGAGCCATTGGAATGAAGAGCACTTTGTGAAGACGCTGTAATTATTATGGGATTGAGGGGCGTGTGGAAATGATTCATGGAGATGTTTCCCAGCCAGCAGGCTGATGGAGCCAGGTGAGCTCTTCCCTGGAATGCGAAGCATGCGGCGCAACAACCGGCAGGAACAGGTTTGGCAGGACACTTTAAGTTGTTCGAAGCAGACGCACCACGGGCTGTTCAGAGCCACATCCCTGCCTTGCCGACCTCCCAGCTGGATGCTCCTCTCCTCTCCGCCAGGCTGGCCCTGGAGAGCTGGCGAGGATGGACACGCTGCGCCGGAGCCTTTCCCGCTGGAAGAGGTACCACATCAAGGTGCACTTGGCTGACGAGGACCTGATGATGCCCCTGACGGTCAGGCCCAGGGACACAGTGATGGACCTGCGGGCTCTCCTGGTGCGGGAGGGCGTCACCTCCTGGAAGAAGACATTTTATTACAACTCCAGGCAGCTCGAGGAGCACGAGACTCTCAAAGAGGCCAATATCCAGAACGGCTCTGTCCTCCTCCTTGTCAGCAATAAAAGGTAGGCAAGAAGCTCGTTGTGCTGTGGGGGAACGCTCGCTGTGTCTCAGCCCCTTGGGACACTTTCCTACCGGGGTTTGCAGGCAGCAGATCAGGAGCTCAATCCCTGCCATTCCCAGCAGGATTGAGATTCCAGGCTCTTCATGTCCAGACGTGCTGCGGTGTGAAATAAGGGGGCCAGAGGAGGAGGGAATCTGCTTGATAGTGCCTGTCCTGTCTCGTTTTCCTGGCTATGTGGCCAAGCACAGAGAGGGGGGCAAGATGTGAGAAAGGGCAAGGGAGATTGTGCGACCTGGGAACCTCTCACTTGTCCTCATCCTTTCTCGTTGTGCCTGTGTCTCTCTCCATTTCTTTGTAGTAAATACTTTCTGCAGGTGTTTGGGGGTGGCACAGTCCTGCTGTGACAGGGAAGAGCTGTGAGCCTCCAGCTTACAGCAAAGATCCAGGGATGTCCAAAACGTGTCCAAATTGGCAGCAGAAAGTACAGTGAGCCTTGAGACTCCCAGGATAGCCAGTGCACAGGAGATCAATCATGGCAAGCATTATGTTCCAGAGGGGATGAAAGCTGAGATAATGGACCTGGGACCCACTGGCCCACAGGACAGTTTCGATTCAGTGTGGTGAATTTATGCCCACCTGCGCTGTCTTTCCTAATGCCTGGTTGTTGCTGCCAGCATGATTAATTCTGTGAAGCATTTTGGGGATACTGGGTAGAAGAAGTGCACGGGTGTGTTGTGTCTAATTCATCTTTCTCAATCCTGAGCCCTCTGAGTTATGTGTCTATGCTGATCAGAGTTTCCTCGGCAGAAAAACCTGCACTGAGGACTTCAGTTCCTGATTATATGCCACATGCTGGAATGGTCCTATTTTCCAGTCCAGAGGCAGCTTGAAATCTCACACAAAGAAGATTTAATAAAGCATTTCCTTTCAGAGCTCAGCCAGACACAGGAGATTTCACATTGCTCAGCTCACTGCAAACCCCAAGTCACCCAAGGCCCCTTTCTCCAACATCTCATTTCAGCTCTCTGATTAACTTGGCTCAGCTCCTCCTTTCCACCTTGTTTTTAATGGCAGGAGCACTTCTATTTGTTGTTGTTTGCAGTGTTTATTTTCCTAAATTGTACAGCCTGAATTCTTGGGAGTAAAAAAAATGGGATTTGGAGGGTCTCAGTTGATGGAGTACTCGTTTGGCAGATGCCTGATTTCCATAACATTTTGTGCACCTTCCCACATGCTGCCAAAGCAGGGTGTAACTGCAGCAATGCAAAACTCACCAGGAAATCCTGCCCCAGGTGTGCTGAGTGCAGGGTGCCCACCTGAAGTCAGTGGCCATTTCTGAAAATTCAGAGCCTGTTGCTCAAAGTCCCAGCTCAAGTTCTGTGAAAAAGGGAGTGGGGATTTCTAATATATTTCTCCTTGCATTTCTTGAAAACCTCCCTGGCTCCTGACAAGCACCTTTGGCCAATCTCTTATTCCCAGCACAGTTCTCTCAGGTGTTTCTGAGATGTGCTTGCGTGTGGCTGGGCAGTCACCACCCTGCTCGGGACAGTCCTGGGCTGAGGTCACGTTGTGACTCAGCAAGCTGGCAGATCCTCAGCACACGGAGGTTCCAGAGGGTTTTAGAGGGCTCTCTCTCTCCCTACCACTGGGAGTTTGGAAATACAGAGTGGGAGAAGGCAGGTGCTGCCTTGCAAGTGAGATTACAGGTCCAATTTGAGCCCTAAGAGCACTTGGGCAGAACTTTAGGTATTATAAATCCATGTTGCTCTCATAGTGTCCTTGGAAATACACTGGTCTCTCCAGGAGCCACAGGAGCAGAGAGGAGACAGAACATGATGCTGTGTTTGGCCAACAACCCTGAGGACTTAAGAGTTGGTTTTAGTGCTTCACTGACCCAGTGAGGCGATCGACCCTCCCCATCAAAGGTCAGCATCTACGTCTTTCAGTTCTCCCTGAAAATCTTGGTGCCTTCTACTTACTCTTTTGTACTGAGGTGCCAGCCAAGCAGAGCAATATTAATTCCAAAAGTGGAGTTGCTGTGATTGCCAAGGTCTGCAGCTCAGTGTCGTGCCCATAAATATTAATGGTCACTCTGCATGCTGTCTGTTCCTACAACAGGCTCATGGGACAGTTTGCTTTGAACTAGAGAAAACATGAAAATGACCCTATTTTTCATCCTCCCCTCCCCCCTTAATACCTTTGTAGATAATTGGCATTTAGCAAAGGCCAAGTCAGCATTTCCACTTCTTGCTCGTGTTTTCTGGGGTTTAAACTTAGTCATAAAAATTCACTTAAGGCAGCAGCTTGGCAGGAGAGGGATCAGTGTGCTAGCTAATGCTGAGAATTTATTTGCACCTTAGCGTTTAAAAGTTCAAGCAAAGCCATTCTGGAGTTCAGTCAACACGACCCTTTGCCCTGGGAAAACACATGGGCAGGCCAGAACTGGGAATATCCCACCCACCGAGGGTGCAGTTCCCCCTTGTGCAGAGCCTGTAAATCACACCAGTGCTGCGCTGACTGAGGTTGCAGTGCTGCTGCAGTGGAGGCTGAGCAAGGAACACGCTGAAAAACAGACTCTGCAGAGACATATTACAACAATGTGGTTTGCAAGTGGGTTAAACAAGCAAAGCAAGAATTAAAATGGCAGTGAGCAAGCAGAGAAATGCCCCGGCTCGGTGACCTGTGGCGTTCAAACCATCTCAGTGCCCAGCAGGAGATCGCCAGCGAGTCTCGGTGTGAGCGGAGCACCCACCCAGCTGGAGGGCAGGAGCACCCACCCAGCTCAGGGTGCAGGAGCACCCACCCAGGCATGCAGGGGCTGTCCCAAGTGCCCGAGGTGTGCTCAGCCCTGGCACTGCTGGCCCACGCCGTGGCAGAACCCGTTTGGCTCGCTCCGGAGGCGGCGCAGGGCCCCAGAGCCGGGGAGCTGCCTGGCTGGTCTGCTGGTGCCGTGGGAGTTCCTGAAACTGGCACGGTCCTGCCTGGATTTTGTGGGCTGCTCTTTGCTGGCTGCGTGCTGGGGAGCGCCAAAGTCAGGTTTGACTCCCTGGGACAGTCAGCAGCGGTGCTGGATGATGGGTGTGTGGAATTAGCTGCTCCTTGCCGGCCGTTTGTTGGCTGAGTTTTGATGTTTGATGGCAGATGGAGGGATATTGCCTCAAATTGGTGAATCCACCTCTTAACCCGGGAACTGTTTCCAACAGAGAATGTCAATGGGTGATCCAGAGTGATCCTTAGACGTGCTGGATCCCTGTCACTGCCCATTCCTAACAGCCAGATCTGGGTGTGGTATAAGCACAAGCACGTTGACAGAGCCTTTGCACTTGGTTCCAGGTTCCAGGCTCCTTTCCTGCTCAGTCATCCAGGTCTGTACTGATAAATTAAGCAGTGCTTGGACAGCTCTCTGTAACAATGCTGGAGTATTGCACTGCAGTTTTGGCCCAGTCCAGGGGCCTTTCAGGAGCCAGCATGGGCCAGGGTCTGCTCCTCATGGGCTGCCTGGGTGTTTCCACACAGGCTTGGGGGGTAGGAATTTAACACATAATCCTTGGCCATTCTGTGCCAGCTGTTCCCTCAGTGCAGGAGAAAGTCCCAGGCACATTTAATTTACTGGCACAGACTCAGCCACAGCACATGGGTTCCCTCAGCCTTTTGGAAGTCGAGGTTCATTGAGGCCAAGCAGCTTTTGTCATCATATATGGCTTGCCTGGAGAATGGAGTTCAGGGAGTCACTGGTGAATAGGTTAAATAAAGTAGATGCCAGCAGTGAGTTTAGCAGAAGTCTATTATCTGGAATCTATTGGTGTTGATTTTCTGGCCTGGAGCCACCTGAAAGCATCTATCTCAGGGCATTAGCTCAGTTACCATAACAACTCATCCAGGAACAGCTCCTGACAGCTCCAGGAGCAGACCAAGGTCTCACGTGGTGCATCAGCCACTCTTAGGTCAAAACAAGCACGTCCAGGATTCTCCCTCTCCAGCAATCCAGCCTCAGTGTCCCTGCTGAGTGCCAGTCCTTAAACAAGCTTTGACATGCTTGGGACCCTGTTTTATCCTTCAGAGGCAGTTCAGCCAGGTTTGCCTGAAAGTCCATCCACTCAAGAATGGATATTCTGTCTCCTGCCAGAATAAAAAAACCCATCCATCCTCGGGGAGCCTGTCACACTCTCCTACTGGCATTCAGTTTACAGCCTCTGATTTTTGGCCTCATAAAGGGAAACTCTGTCTGAGCCACTTGCACAAGGTCCAGCTTTGGTGATGTTAAACTCCAGCCTACAGGATGTCATAAGGATCAGTGGCAGACACTTGCCAGTGGCTCACTCCACACTTACATCACTCCACTGTCCTGTCAGCCCTGCTCACTCTCACTGGAATTCCCTGGGAAGCAGTCACAGCAAAGCAGGGAACGTTGGATCTCTAGAAACCAGCAGAATAATGAGACCTGCACCGTTTGACCCCAAAAGGCGACAGGACAGCCCAGACCTCAATTCAGTTCTCTACACTGGATTTCAGTGTGGTTTTGTGATGCCTCCTCCTTGCACCGACCCTCCCGCTCCTGGGGCTGTTCAGCAGTTGCTCCTCAGCAGGGTGGGGAGACTTTTCACCCCCCTCCAAGTTCTGCAGCCTTGCCCTGTTAAGCTGAGGCCCAGCAGCAGGCTCCGAGGCATCTCGCTGTAGGATAACGATCCTTTAAACAGCACTGGGAGTCTCTCTTCTCAGGGAGAGCTAATTAAGTTCTTCAGTACATGCTTAGGCATATGCTGACCTGGTGTGGCCTTAACAGGCCCGCTTCCATCTACCAGATAAATAATGCTGGCTTAAAAAAACATCCTCCTGGAGATGTGTTACTGAGGCAACAGCCAGGTGGGGGGCTGACTGCATCTCTGTGGCTGGAGGTATTTATGTGTATTACTCACGGGCCAAGCTCTCTGTTGGTGGACTGAGTTAAGTGATTTTTAAGTTCTGAAAGCACCGGTGCAGTTACCTCTGCTGACCTCTCACAGTGTACAGGCCAGACAGTGACACCTGTATTTAGCTCGTTCACTTCGTGTTCAGCCCAAGAAGCTCATTTAACAAAAGCAGAGGGTGTTGCATCAACAGAGAACGTGGTCCATAGGTTGTGAATTCCTCCCTGTGCAGTTGCATGGGGGTTGCAGGAGATGAAACCGAGCTAATGTGTCCCCCAGGGGTCTGTCTTGGCTCTAGGCAAAGAATTAATGAATGGAAAGTACATCCTAAACTAGATTCCTTTCTGGTGTGATATGGCCCAGCTTCCTGGACTTCTCTGCAGTGCTGGTTTATAGCAGGTGAGGATTTTACCCCTCTGGGATAAATCCCCTCTCCTGTGTGACGGTGTTTTACGGGGCAGATGTGCTACAGGGTGTGCTCCCAGAAACCCTTGGCTATCACAATCCTCCAAAATTTCAAGTGAAGAAGCAAATGCTGGAAATGTGAATCCTGCTCTGGGTTTTACAGACAACACAAACAGCAACTAATATCAGCCTAACTAGACTGATCCTTTGCTAGAACCCAACAAAAAAACCCACCCCATAAACTCTGAACTTCTCTAAGGCCTGATGAAATATTTGCAGCACAGGCTCAGTTTCTTGTCTGTGTAATTGCAAACAGCAATTCACAGGAGTCAGAAGACTCAGCCCTGCTCTTACTGGCTTGGCTGGGTGGGGTGGCTGCCTGGTGAAGCTGCTGTGGGCCATGAGAACCTTGGTTGAGGTCCAAGGTGGGATAATGAGCTCTCTGAGCAAATCCCAGCCCCGAAGAGGTACCCCTAGAAATTTGGAAGAGCTTTAGGCTCTGTTCTGGAGACCCCAGGGAGTAGCCCTGGTGATTTTGAAGGGTTTTCAGAAGAGTAACTCAGAAAGGAATTCTACTTTTGCTAAGCTTAAGCTTTCTATGCAGGGTCTGTACCCCTGTCAGAAAATGTTGATGGACCCACAACCCCAGAAATCCATTTAGTGCTAATGCCTGGGGCTCAGCCTGTCGAGAGCAATTCAAGCTCTGTCTTACTGTAAACATTCTCAAAGTGCTTCTAAAGCTACAGACTGCCTTGTTCCAAGATGAAAAATGGATTTCCAGCAGCATGCACTAAAGAGGAAGAGCCTTGCTTATGGGGAAAAGGCTTCCAGACAGTTGTGGATTATCTGGAGGAGGCTGAAGGCACCTTCTGGGGAAGGATAAACAAGTTTGAAACCCTGCAAGTGGCTTATCCTCAGTTTTACAGAGTGAGTGAAGAACCAAACCAGGGGGAGGATGAGGTTTACATTCTCCCCATGTCGAGTCAGTGCCTCCTTGGTCAAATGCCATTTTTGATTGTGTGTCCACAGTGCTCCAAGTATTTGCCTCTTTCTTGTTCAGATAATGCCAAGGAGCAGAGCCAAAGCCATGAGACACGGGGAGTGTAACAAGGGCTGAAGGGAAGCAGATGGAAGAGAGCTTGGCCATGGAGATGCAGCCCAGCCACCAGTGTTGGTAAGTCCCTCCCCACACACCAGCTCAAGGACTGCTCAGAAAGCAGCTCTGAGTGTTTTCAGCACAGTGCCCACGAATAATTAACCCAAACAAAACAACAAATGACGCTTCCTCATCAGTGTGCCATGTGCTGCCAGCCGAGGAGCGTGGGTAAGGCTGACTCAGCTCCTGAGGGCAGTGAATCAGGGAAATGCCCAGGGAAGGGGACTTCTGCCTGGGCAATGGAGTGAGAAGAAGCTGGGGGAGATTTTGTTTAGGGCCCTGGATGGGGACATGGGACATCTGGGCCTCCTTCCAGCTCGCTCTCAGGATTCTGCAGCGAGTTGCCGATCTTGGCCTTTGCTTTCCTCCGTGTCAGTGTGAGGTAATTTATCCTTCCCTTTCTTCTATTCTTTGTCCACCCAGCTGTAAATGACTCAGGCTTGTGCTCTGGAGCACTTTCTATGCAGTGAGGCCCCAGTTTTTAGGCTGAAGGCTCTGTACACCAAATAAGAGCACTATAGACAGTCGTGGAGCTTGGCATTGTACATCCAAAGGGATAGCTGGTCTCTGTTATGGTGACCACCTCCCCTGACCTCAGCAACTCATACTTACACCAAAACTGCCTCGTTTTTGAGCCAGAGTTTATAAAACAATGAGCCTCCTTGTGTTCTCCATCTGTGCTCCAGCTCTCCCCTCCCTCCTCACCCTGCTCCAATAACTTCTGACCTGATTCAACCCAATTTGATGGAAAGAGAGAGGTCTCACAGACCCAAGATCCCTGCAATTTTCGTGAGCAAACAGCAGCTGGATGGAAGAGAGACATTTAAGTTAATATCCTGCTGAAGGAGAGGTAATTACACCTCTTGCTCCTTATCTATTTTGGGATGCAGCAGCCAGGTGACCATTTAGATATGGCTGGTCAGTCAGTTCCTGCCCAGCTTCAAACCAGCCCCTGCAAAGCCAGAAGCTGCTGGAAGAGCTGAGGATTTTGCTGGGGGAGGCCTGGAGGGGATGAGGTTCCCTGGGGATATTGCAGTGAGCTGGGAGCACCAAGAAAGGAAGAAATAAAAAGCAGTTGTAATACACAAATCAGAAGGAGAACGGGTTTCACCGGTTCCCTGCTCACAGAACAGCTTGTTTTTTTAGGTTCAAACTTATTTTCAGGAAAAAAATAGATGTTTCACTAACCACTCCAGTACTTTCCCTAGAAAATTCCAAGGACTGGCAACTGTCTTACCAAACCCTCAAACCTGCCTTTTCTGTTTTGCAACTCCATTTTTTTGGCCACGAGGAAACACCTGCTTCTTTTTTTTTCCAACACCAGCATTTGAAGAAATGCCATGGAAAACAGAATTTTTTTTCCTTTTCCTTTTTCCAAGGGACAAATATAATTCCCCAAGTGCATCCTTGGACTTTGCACAGAAAGAGATTCTAAGACAAACACGTGAGCTTTGTCGTGGCTGAAGATCTTTCAGTCCTGGCAACTGGGATGGATAAAGAGTGGGATGGGACTGAGATGGGAAGAAGGGATGTGACTTTTCCAAGGTCAACCAGCAATCCAGGAGACCAGGGAAGAGCTGGTGCTGTTGGGTCAGCAGTTCTGCCACTTGCCCATGCGGCGCCTCTGCACGTCTGTCTACCCCTGGAATAATGAATTCCTTGGAGCAGAGCCAGTACTTTCCTGAGTGCTTGGAAAATGCCTCGCACAGCCCTTAGGTGCAGTCATAAATAACAATTAAAATGATAATAATAACACTAAAGTGGATGTGTGCCACTGGAGATGGGACACACTCAGCAACAGAGCCCTAAATCTATGCCCCTCTTCTAGTAAAAGGTACAATTTGCCTCCCAAAGCCTGGGAGACCAGGATTTACTTCCCTGGACTTGATAATCACAGTCTTTTGCTCTGCAAAAAAAAGCAAACTGACCTGAGCTGAATTAGGTTCAGTATCTACTCTAACACCTCTTGCCTGTAGCTGGCAGCTCTGGTCAGCTCTGGCAGGCTTTTTGCAGCTCAGGGGGATATCTGGAAAGACTAAATTAACTGTGGTGGTGTGGGGAGCTGCCTGGACTAATGTTTTTTTCAGTGATAGGCTTTGATTGACACTTCAAATCTGCCTTACAATCTTTTATTCTAAGAGCAGTTGCTGCCTTCCTCCAGAGCAGGAAGAGCTGGTTTGGTTGCTGTCCTTCAAATGATGGATCTTATCACGTGGGAAAAAGAAGTTAAGAAAAGGCAAACCACCTGGAAAGAGCCACAGGACCAACATAAAAAGAGGTAAAACTAATCTATTTGAGGTGTTTCTGGTTTTTTTCCCTCTATGCCATAATCCAGTGATATCCAAGAACAGGGGCTGTGCTCTGAGGAACAAGAGCTGACTGTTTTCTTTCTTTCTTTGCCTCTTCATTCTGTCATTTCCTTCAAGGAATTTGTTTAATACTTTGCAAATAGAACTGTGCAACTCTCTAGTGACGAGAGAATCATGGAAGATGACTGGAAGGGACACAGAGGGGTCATCAGTCCAACTCCTGGCCCTGCTCAGGACACCCCAACAATCCCACCCTGTCCCTCAGAGTGTTGCCCAAACACTCCTGGAGCTCTGGCAGCCTTGGGGCCGTGCCCACTGCCCTGGGGAGCCTGGGCAGTGCCCACCACCCTCTGGGGGAAGAACCTTTTCCTAATATCCAACCTAAACCTTCCCTGGCACAGCTTCATGCCATTCCCTGGCATTCCCAGGACAAAGAATGCAGTGGGACAACCTCTTTTACTCACTTTTTTTACCCTGCCTCTTCCTGCTGTTGCAGCTATCCCTAAATGCTTGCTAAATGCTGGGATCACACCACTCAGCTGCTCTCAGGTTCTCTAGCCTGCAGAGCTTAGGGCTGTGGTTGTGTGTCCAAACACCAAAAAAAGAAGATGCTGATGGTAAGAACTGCTCTGAAAGGGATGTTTGCCTTATTCTCTGTGAACACAGGTGTGGACAGGACCAAGGCCCAGCACTGGAAGGTGTGTGAGGAGTCTGTGTGACAGCCTGAGCTTACTGCAAGATGGACAAGTTCCCAGCTTCACAATGCTGCTCCATGGGAGGGGTTTCTGCTTGTCAGGAGTGTTTTATCTCCGGGATCCTGCTGTTGTTGGGGCATGATGGACAGGATTACCCAAAGCACTGCTCTTTGCTGCTGTTCACCTCCACCCTGCAGACAGGCCTTCCCAGCCAGCTCCTCTGGAGCTTCAGGAGCAGAAAACAGGTCCAGGCAGGTCATCTCCACCAGCTGCTGTGCCCCAGCAGGGCAGCTCAGCCTGGGGCTTGTTTCAGTGGCTCTTCTGTGCTTCTCCTCTACCCGAGACATGGATGCATGAAATGTTTCAGTTTACCTGGCATTTTTCCTCAGCACTAAATTTACTTTTTAAAGTTGCATCAGTGTTGTACCCAGAGGGAGTGGAGGAACAGATGCAGCCTGTGAAGTTCTGGCTTTAATTCACCTGCCTCATTTAATTTCCTGCCCTGCCTTCTAATCAATGAGTCTGCACTGGTGGCTCTGGGAATACCGAGGTTTTTCCATATCCAGGAGAACTCCACACAGTGGCTGAGCTCCCAGGGTCTTGAGAAGGCCATGTCACATCTCCTTTGAGGCTTCCTTGTGGATTTTCCTCCCCTAGAAACACTTGCCCACACTCCCCAGCCCATGGCAGCTGCACTACATTTCCTCCCAGGGCAGCTGTGCCACATTAACCTCTCTTAGCCAGGCTGGCTGTGTGGCATTCCCTCCTGGAAGTGCTTTGCTTCCAGGATTTCAGCCACATGGCGTGTTTTTCAGGGCCCCACGCTGCTTTCTGGGGCTCTGTGCCCACTGCAGCTCTGCTGTGCTACCTCAGATGCTGCTGAGGCCGTTTGGGCTTTGGCACCCTCCCAGCGTTCCCAGCACATCCCAGGATCCAAGGTGCCTTCCAGGGGCTCTTTTCTCCCTTCCAGAGCCCCCAGGCCAGGTCATGGTGCTGTGCTGGCCCTGAATGTGTCACTTCCCAGGTGTCCCTTCCCCGGGGACAGTGGCACTGCCTCAAACACTCAGGGCTGTCAGGAAACCCTGATGAAAGGGGTTTGGTTAAGCAGCCTCCCACTGTCCTGCTTATTTTGGGCTCGTGTTAATTCCAGGCATGGAATTAATTCACGATAAATCCGAGCTGCCCTGGTGTCAGAATCCTGGGAGACAGGAGGGTGGTGGCACCTATTTTGTGACACCACTGCTTCACCTCGGGCATTGCAATCTGTATCAGATTTTTCTTTGCCTGCTAAAATGGACAATTAGGATCCCGTTGTAATGCAAATTGCATGGTGGAATAAAAACCCGTGGAGAACAAAATCCCAAATCAGTAGAGTTCTGTCAGCCTTTTGTGGCTGTGTGATGGGTCCTGCTCAGCCTCCTGCTCGCTGGGAAGGATCAGGCAGAGGAGAACCAAGAGTGCCTTTGTGTTTTGTGGGGATGTGAGGCTGCCTTTAGGCACTGACAGCCCTGATACTCTGTGTGTGTGTGTGCAAACCTAACAGACAGATTTTCTGCCTGCACTGGAAATCTGATGATTGTCTTGGTTTTTTTTTTTCAAGGCTCTGTTTTATGCACCCAAACCCCTGGGGTAATTGCCAGTCTCTCTGCACAGGGCTGAGATGACTTGGGGGGAGAAGCAGAGAGATGCTGGAATTCCAATTTCAGCCCCATAATGTGCTCCCCATCCCAATGGCCTTGAACATGTGGTGCTGTCACTGGTGGTGTTGTGGTCGTTCTTGTCATTGTCGTCTTGTGTGGTGCTAAATGTTGTAAATGAAGACAAATCTTTAAATTTGTGAAGGAATCGAAACTTACTGTGGAATTAAACACACAGGAGCCCTGAAAGAAATGGAAGAGGTATTTATGTCTTCATTTCAAGTGGCAACATGAAGTGATATTGTGTTGATAGAGCTGCTTTTACTGAAGATCAGCTTTGCA